GGGTCCACCTGAAGGCCCGACCCCGCCGAGCTCCGCCCGCTCAGCCCGAGTCTAAAAAGAATCAAATACGGTTTGCGGCAGGTCAGGGCTACAGAGCCGCTCGCTCCTGCCCTCCAGCCCGTGGGGCTGGCGGAGGGCAAAGGGAGAGTAAAACCAAGAAAACTTGGCTGTCCTGCTGAAAACAAGTCTGCGTAAGTGAAGGAAGGAGGAAAATGCAAAACAAACCACCAAAACTGACTCTTAACGAGTAAAGAAACACTTCCCTAAGGAGGGTCTTGACAGGAAACAAGCACAAAGTCACTGAGGCTGGGACTCTTCATGAAAACTGACTGTTGAGTTCAACCTCAGCAGTGGCAGGAAAAGGCTTCTGGGGGTCAGGATGAGGATGGCACCAAACAGGTTTGTGCCCACAAACTCAGACCCTTCTGAGAAGCTTTGCATGTCCTCTGCAGGATGGGGTCCGGCAGAGCAAAACTCCGTTATGCTCTGCTAAAAGTCTCCCATCAAACAAACCTCAAAACTGAAGTGCTCTAGTGCAGATCCCACACTGACACGACACCACCACCCAATGCCTCAGCAGTGGTTCGGGCACTGCCACTGCAGCCCCAAGAGTCCAGAGCTGGAATTAGTGCAGACACTCCCGAGCAGTTGCTGCTCTTTAAGCTGACACTGCTGTGAGCTGAGCCCCTGCAGCAGCCTCTCCTATAGCTGCCACACTGTGTCTGGCACAGACAGTAGTCTGTGCTACCAACACCTCACACCCCTGGACAGCAGCAGCAATGAAGAGCACAACAGGTGGTTTTATGCCAGAGGATACAACTACAATTAGGAGCAAAAATTAGGACGTCTGACAGCAAATACAAAGGTTAGAACAAAGTTTTGTTATTGTAAGTGACATATCCACAATTATGTGCAAGAAATTGATTGGTGTTTGCATTAGTGAGAACAAAGAACATCCTCCACACTCAGCACAGGGACAATGTGAGTGCTCCAGTCAGGGGCTGCACCTTCCTCTCCTTGTGTGGGTGGCAGCACAAAACTCCCAAACTACGCTGAAGACAGGGACAACCCATGGGCATGAGAAAAACCCTCTTCTGCAGCTTTTTATTACTTCTCCACACAAAACAGAAAAGCAGAAGGTGCAGCTCCTGATTTACTGTATGCTGCAGTTTAGTCCAAAGAACTCGTGTCTGTTTGCCCGTGTGTCCCTGCAGACAGAGCTGAGTCCTGGTGAATCTAAAGTTTCAAACAGTTCATTTCAGCTTCACACGTGCACCAGAGAGATTTCCACACTAAGCATCCACTTGTCTGTTACCAGATTTCTTCTTAAGGCTGTGGGTGACTTTGGCTGCTCTACCACCAGGTATTATTGGCACCCCCCCAAGAAATGCACCAGCTTAGCACTTGCTGAAGCCATTCACATGTCAGAAACTGCTCCTCATGCCACAGCCTGGCCCTAATGCAGCTCAAGCAGCATTTCGTGCAAATATGATGAAAGAAGAGAGTACCTGGATGAGGCAGCTGCATGAAAACTGCAGACTTAGAGCAAGGCAGAGAAGCTTTACAGACACAGAATGAAAGAAATAAATGTAAGTGAATAATGTCCGTGAGACAGGGAAGGGGAGGGACAGGAACAGAGATGGTGACAGACAAAACATTTATAATCAATAATCCTGACTAGTTGTTTCCAGATGCAAGAAATGAACTTTTCATGTATCTGCAACTTAGTATTTCTAGACACAATAAAAAGACTCACTTGGCTGAAGATGTTTCTTTTAGCTGAGTGCTGCTGACCACATGGCCTTCACACTGGTGTTTTAAATTTAATATCCAAGCAAACAGTGCTCGGAGTGCCAGCAGCGTGTTGCTTCAGACTCACTATTAACCTGAACGAGTTCCCTAGTTCCCAACTCTGTTTGTGGAGACTCTTAACCAGCTTCTGACAAAAGCCATCTGTTTGCACAGCACTTGGAAGGAATGTTTGACGAGCTGGATTAATTCCTTCCTCTCAGCTTGTAAAGGAAGAGGGAATGGAAAGTGGGGCAGAAGGAAGGAGGACATTTACAGAGCAAAATGCTTCTTTCCCTTGCAGAGAGCCCAATCCTGCACCATCACCTCATCCTTGGAAACGAACTGCTGGAGCTGCTGCCGATGCTGTGTTCCAAACAGAAAGATGCTGCCCAGAATGTCCTTCCACACTGACAGCAAGATCTGTTCCCAAAGGAAGCCCTGTTCCCAAATGATTCCAACAGCCCTGCCTTACTCCTGCTGCTCCTCTGCACCCTGAACAAACTATCCCAGTGCCTGTGAGCCAGGGATCCCCGGCAGGGCACATGTTCCACATACAGATGCTGCTGTTCTGATGCCCTTCATTCTCTTCCCTTCACCTGGGAGACAATTTTTGTGCTGGATAAAATCCAGGATCTGAACCAACAGGGTAACAGCTCAGGAACAGTTTAATATTAATTTGACTACACAATGCACCAATGTTTGACACATAACCACATCCAAAGAGCCAAAGAGGATCCTAAAGCAGGAAGGTGCCACATTTCCCCCAGCCAGATGTACCAGAACAGGCACTGACCTGGGGAGTGCTGGGAAGTGGCAAGTGAGGTCATGGAGTTGGAGAGGTTGAGGTTTGCAGTGATGCTGAGCTGGCTCTGAACCGCCGGAGGATACGGAGACGTGGGGGTCAGGAGAGATTCTTCACTGGTTTCCTCATCAATTCCAGGCAAATATGTGTCAATCAAGGCATCAAGGAACTTCACTATGAGCTCAGCATAGTCTGGGATTTGGGTTTGCTGTGGGAGATGGGGGGGAAAAAAGATCACTCTTTGTACTTTGTACTTCCTGTCAATTTGAGCTCACTCTTTAGTCCCACTGTTTTGCCTGCAAATTTTCAAGAGCATTTGATGTATGAGTAAAAACTGATCTGTGGCCTTGTCCAGACCAATCTAAATGTACACACTGGAGCCAGGTGTCAGTGTGATCTCAGTGTGTGGGAGCCCAGGGGCAGGAAAAGGGGCTGCAGAACCCCTGGCCCAGCCCCACACCTGGGCCACTTCCCTTGGGATGGCTGGACACACAGGCGGTGCTCCACAGGCTCTGCTCCAACACAAAATTTAGCCTTGTGGAATCATCACTCTGATCAAATTAACCCCCTGCCCTGTCAGATACATGTAATGAAGTGACCCTGGGAGCAGGAAAAGCTGCACTCACACACTTGGCTGTTTTTCCCCCACTTTGGTAACTTATCTATCACAGCACCTGCTGCAGGCCCAGGGCTGGTTTTAGCCCCGGAGGTGCCCGATGCTCTCTGCTCATAAGAGAATGATGCTACTCATGAGCATCTTTGCTGCAGCACCAATGTGCCCCAGAAAGGCCAAACAGCCTAGACCCCCAGAGAGCTCTTACCTTGGAGAAGGGACCAGCAAACCTCCACAGCCCATTAAATCCAAAACCTGCAACACCAAATGGAACACCATCATGAAAGCCCAGCTCTCACCTGACAGAGAACAGAGAGTGCTCCCAGTACAGCACTTTCTTAAAAAAAAGAAAAATATTTACTCTGTAGATAGGATGTTTGGTATTGAGGTGGAGACTCCTCATGGTAGACAACACTCTGCACAATCCCATGAATTGGATTCAACAAGTTTGGATCCTGGCACAGCGATAAAAGGGTATTGATCTTGGAATCCAATAAATTATGCCTGAAGAAAGGAGAAATGGCTTAGTTTTTGGTCATTAAATAACATAGACCTGCAGTTCCCAGCTGACTTAAGCAACCAGCAGCTCAGGTGGGATTTTTGCCCCATCCCCCCCAGTGATTTCAGAACACAATTCCCGACTCTGTTCCATGAGGACTCTAATGATGTGCTCAGGTCAGTCTGTGAACACCTGCTTACCTTCTGACAGCTGGGTTTCCGTTACCCATGTTCACTCCAGCAAAACTACAGAAGGTGTCTAAAGAAACACCCAAAGAGACCCAGCACTAGGTTTTAAATCAGCTTTGAAACAGCTGGGGCACAAATTAAAATCGACCATCATGGACAGTCTGCAGCCTGTAACCTCTACACAAGCAAATGCCTTGTAGATGCTTGTCCTGGACCAGAGAGCTCTGAAGAAGAGCCAGGCACGGAGTTATTGTAACCACAACTTCAGGTACTCACACAACAGGAAAGACCTTTGGGAAGACAACGCTGGCTTCTGCTAAATACTCGTAGAGGATGCGCTGGTCAAACTCATCCGTGGTGTATTTCACCAGCGTGGCCTGGCAGGGAAGGAGCCATTAATGCACCTGGGTGGTTACAGCATTTGCTTAAGGGGTTTAAGCTTTAAAGGGATTAAGATTTCTGACTAGCAGAAAGCAGTGTTAGAAAAGATTGATTTATATCTCTGTTGAGAAACAACAGAACCAGTTGGCAACAACTTGTGTTTTGCCAATAAATGTATTTCATCTGTTTCTTACACAACTGAGCATTTCTGAATTGTACCTGGAGTGGGAACTGCAGTGGTACAGCCGAAGAAAGTGCTATGAGACTGCACCTCTATTACCAGTTAATGACTTTTAAACTGAATTATGTTGGGATTCTGATAATGCTCATTTATTTTAAACTTAATGTATTAATAACCTTTTATTATACAAAATAGTATGTCTTAAACTCAGCCAGGAAAAACTTCAAGGAACGCATTTGTTTTGCTGGGAGATAAAAGGACATCAGAACATTGCAGACAACACACAGAAGAAAGCTTACAAGAACTGTCAGCAGCAGTGCTTGAATTTTTGGGTCAGTCAGAACTTCTTCATCCAGGAGGACGTTTGACTCGGAAACGGAAACTTTCCGGAGGTGTGGGTGTTGCTGTGGTGATATTCTCTGGGTTTCTGCCAGATAAAGAAGAGCAACTCATCCAGAGCAAAATAAACCCCAAGCAAGACAGAATCAGGTTCTGCACACCAGAGTCAGTTGTGTGCAAACCTCAGAGTTCACCGGCCTCATCACAAAGGTCAAAGCAACGACTGCGCTGTAGTGCAGCAGCACTGGACCACTACATGGGATGTGTTATCAGATGGCAAACAAAAACCCCAATTTCCTCTTCAGTGAAATACAGGCCCAGGGGTGTAAGTACCAAATTTAGGGTCAGGCAGATACAAGAGAAGAACCCTGGTCTTGCATTGCAATTGGGGGTGGGGGCACAGGAAGCAGATGGGGGAGAAGATGAAGAGAGGCATTCCAGGCATCAGCTCATGTTCCATCTCCTGCAGGAATTTGCAGCTGGGGCTTATTAACTTATAGAAGGCCAAATGCTATTTATTTCATTGCACTCCTGTATGCAGTCCTTTAGAGCTGCCCCTGATTCAGCACCTGTAAAATGAGCAGCTCCAGTGCAGCTGCCAGAGATAAATGATGGCTGCACCCTGCAGAAACCATTGCTAAGGAAGGTGCTTCTCCCTTACCTTGGAGTAACCTTGGTAAATAAACACTGAATTTAGAAATAGTCCTTTGTATAGATATACAAAGCGTTTATGATTAGTATTATTCTTAATATGTTAGTCCTGTGTCTCACCCATTTCATAATCATTTTCGGCTACTCTCCTCATTTTGGGAGGCGTTGTGATTCCAGATTCCATGTCTTGCCTTTTAGGAGCCTTTGTGTCCGATATCAAATGGTCAAAACTTTTCCTTGTACCTAAAAACAATTTATCAGGCAATTAAAAACATTAAACCTAAATCCATATTCTAACTTTTTCCAATTTTCTGGCCAAGCTACTCCCCTATCTACCACATGTTGACAGGAATCTGGGGACCTTTTCACCATTTTCAGGGATGGGACAGAAAATACGATCACACCATGCCGCTCTCCATCACAGCTTCCAAAGTGCTTCACAACACACAGGAGGGAGCATGCAATTAGTCAGGGGGGCATGCCATGGACTCCTGGCCCCCACACAGAATACACATGCCAGGACATGGTTACTGAAAAGGAAGCAAGAAAGGGCTGGAATGAAGGAAAAGCCCCTCTTCTTCCACCTGTGTAATGCCAGAGGGCGTCCACAAGTTCTGCAAAGCAACTCAGCTTGTTCCTCTGATACAGAAGTTTGTTGTAAACATGATGCACTGAGAAGCCATGAGTACAAATCAGATTGTTTAAACATATCTACCACGTGGGACCATCTCCTCCAGCCCCAACCAGAGCACTCTAAATATTCACTTCCTGGCTTTGCTGGAAAGGGCTGGGAGCACAAAAACTGGCACTAGGAATCTTCAGGATCTGGAATATCTTTTCTTCTCCACTTCAACATGCACATTTTGAGCATTGCTCTCACTCCCCCTCTTCATGACCAAAAGAACCGAGTCCTCTTTAACTGTCCAGTGCCCTGAAATTTGCATTTTGCAGAAACTGCACTTATTCCTCTCAATCAGGAATAAGCCCTTAAAGCCAGACCTAATGCAAGAACAATTTTTCTCCAGTAATGCTTCCCAGGGTATTCTGTAGACATATCAATAAATTAGTTATGTTAATAACCTAGAAGCTTTTTAGTGTTGGCTTGTGAAGGCTGCCCCATGTCCAAGCTCATGGATTTCCGGGTGCGAGGGCTGATCTGTCCCACTGTTGGGTAACTGGCAGCCAGGTGTCTGTCTGACCCCTTGGGGGATGACCAGGGCTGATGTTCCTTTAGTGTCCTGAAAGTGCAGAGAAATTCAATTAAGAAAATTTTAAAACTGTGCTATTTAGACAGAGGTTTTTCAAGCAGTCAAACTATCCTTCCTCAAACCCATCTTTCCTACTAGGTTAATTTCCCCAAAACACATAATAACAAATAGTAATTACTTTGCTTGCAAAGATGTCTGAGCTAGTGAAAACAAACAATCTGATATGAATGTGATGCTGAAGAGATAAAAAATAAAGCAATGAAAAGAACACAAGCAAATCAGCCTATGGGGCAAGACAAAATATATTGAGTAATCAGCTACTCCAGTCTCAATGCTAAAAAGAGAGATCATGAGTGAAGTGCTCCCTGTGGAGGACACAGGCTCTCCATGGCATTTACAGTTGATTTCCTGGCTGATCTCTCTGCCAGCACACAGGCTATAACAAGGTGTCAAGGTTTCCAGACAGGTACATGCCCTGGAGCTCTTGAAAGGACAAACAAAATGTTCTTCTAAAATATAAATGAGATTAAATCAGATCTTGTAGAAAGATTTTAGCAAAAGGTTTAACAGCCTCCAGAGCAGTTAAGCTCTGAAAATTCAATCTGTATGAATTGCACACCCAAATTTCTCCATGCCTCCTGATCCCAGCGTAAGGAGAAAATTGCTCAGGAGCCACCACAGCCCATGGACTCAGTGCTATCAGTGGGGCTCAGTTCTCAGTGCACCACAGCTCACTCACTACAGGAACAGGCTTTGCAATGTGAGTAACTGGGCTAAAAGCGAGACAACCAACCTATAGCTCGTGTCACTGTGATGGATGGGGTATGTATCCATGGGAACATTTTCCACTGAAACGTCTGTCAACAAGAGAGACTTCCTGTGCTTGAGGCTGCAGCGGCTCCGCACCTCCTCCGACACCGTCAGCAGGGCTGCAAGGCAAAGGCAAGGGAAGGCAAGGGAAGCTTTCCACAGCAGGAACACAGTGAACAATATAAATATTCCATCTCTCTGCATTTCTTACATACAACAATGGACATTTACATCACTGAGCTGCAGTTACACCTTAAGAAATGCACAGATCATTTAAAAAGAATTCTGTTTTCCATCCAGTTACAATGGCAAGATTCACAAATTTGCCCTCACGGTCACAATTTCTATGTCCAGACCACAGGAAATGTGAGTGCCTACACTTGAGTATTTACACCAAGAAACCTCCAGCCTTCCTGCAGAAATCCGAAAGATGCAGAGGATGTGCTGTGCTGGCAAAGCCCTCAGTCCCCAAAAAGCCTTCCCTATGTGCCCCCTTGCTCACACTCCTGCCCACCAGTTACAAGTTCTCTTTGTGCTGGTACAATTTTAACAACCTGAAGCTGAAGGAATTCCACAATAATCCACTCGTTTTCAGTCAGCCCAGACTGGAAAGGAGGTTTGGTTCATTACCTGCCAGGTAAGCCACGCTCTGGGTGTTCACCTCGAACTTGTCACAGTTCCTGTGTTTGTTAACCAGACCAAGGAGTGTGTGCAAAATCCTCACAGTTCTTGCTACAGTGGTAGGGGAAGGATGCCTGTACCCTAAGAAACAAGAGACTGTATTTAACTTTTGAATCCATATTTATGAAGCACTAAATATTTTGAAAGCATTTATAAGTATTTTCCAGCACATTCTCAGACATTCCATCTCAAGGGTAAGAGAGCACAGTGCTACTAGAAATGGCACATTTAAGACTAATTCTTTCTTGTCCCTCCTCTCAAAACTGCATAATTTTAAATGTCTGTGCATACATTGTATCTGTTATTTCACAAATCAGGCTTCTAAAAAACCAAGCGAGCCTGAGCACGGGCAAACAGGGAGAGACGTTCTTGAAGGAAGAAGACTGCAGCAAATGAAGTTCTGCACATTGTGGAAGTTCAGACTTTCAGCAGCAGCACTAAAGACCTTCAGAGGAGACATATAAAGGAGATCTGGAGAAGTCCTTTAATCCAAGAGTGTTTAATTCTTTATCTACTCTGTAATCCAAATTACTCAAAATCCCCACCCAGTGTGGCCCTGTTATCCCTTGCCTTGTTTTTATTCCTAAAGTAAGTGTTCATTTCAAAGAAAGAGCAGTATGCTTATCTTTTCTTTCATCTTACCTTTCAGGAGATGTCCCACTAGTGCAAAGTTGAAGTTGGAGTTGAAATTTAGCCCAACAAAATGATCCATCTGTTTGCAGTGCCATTCAAGTGGTCTCCTGATCTCCATGAACACTTCTTCTGGGCTCTGACCCACAAAAACAAAATACAAGAGCACCTCACTGGAAGTTACTCAGGATGTCTCAAGTTCGTTGGGTTTTTTGTTTAAGTGACAGAACAGTTCTTTTAGAGGCTACAGGAAAATATCAAACACTTTCTCACAGATCACACCTGGACATTTCTGTTCCAGTTTCAAAGAGAGTAATGACAGCATCACTCCACATCTTTGTCCGTAGGTATCACCAAGTGAAACAATTTCTAATGCAAATTCAGGTTTAGTTGCTTAACAAGTGTTCACAAGGATAAAGGTGGGGCTTGTCCCCTTTTCTATCAGCTCTGACTGCTGCCACGAGTGAAGGCTGTGCTCACCTTGTCGTTGAACACGCGCAGGCTGTCCAGCGTGTGCAGGTTCTGCTCCAGCAGGGCTGTCCCTGCCGAGTACAGGTTCACCTCATCCAGCTGCAGCACGGCCATGGCCACCCAGAACAGAGCCTTGTGCATAGGGGAGTCCTGCAGGGAGAAAAAGAGCCACCACTGCACTTCAGAGTCAGTTCCTGCAGGTGAAAGACAACCAGGATGGAGGGGAGAGTTTGTCCCCCTTGTAGCAGGTTTTGTGCTCAGCCACAGCCATTCCGAGGGAGCAGATGCTCACACGGATCTGCTAATCCACCTCACGGGTGAACAGTAGAAAGGAAATTAATTTCAAGCCTGTTTTGCACCTCCCAAGCCATTCCTCATCACCTACATCCCTTCCTTGCTCACACAGTGTCAGACCTCCACTGCCCTGTGCCAGGCTGACCAGAAATGGGTCTGTTGTTCTCCATCTGAACATGGACTGCAGCTCTGCATACAGAACTGGCCAGGCACTTCCTCATCAAATCAGAACCACACGTGGGAGGAACTGGCAAACAGTTCAACTCAAACACATCCTGGGTCCCTTGAACAGAGCTTTTTCCAGACCAGGTTTTACTCCCCACCAGGGCTGCTCTTTGCTCTTGCTGTGCACCCCCACTTTGCTCTGGGGCAGGAGCCTGGCAGTGGCCCTGGTTACCTGAACCAGCTGCACCCCACACACGGCTGTTCCTCCAGCCTGCAACCCTGTGGAAGGAACAGGCACAGCCTGGGCACAGCCTCTGCCCAAATGCCAGGGCTCTGCTCCTGAAGCAGAACAGAACATTCCCCAGCACTACTCAAGCCTTCACACTGGTCCCACAGTCTGCCACACTTCCCATATGTGCTCCATCCACACAAGTCACAGCAAAATGTGAACTTCACAAACCTCAACATTTAACTTGTATTTCTGAGATTATAGCCATAATCATAATTTACAAAATGCATTCTCTGTTTATTCAAAATCCAGTGACTTACCTTGTTAAGAAGAGGCTGCAACTTGGTGAGGGCTATAACTGTGGCTTCTATTAGAACTTGGCTATTGTAATTATCAGGGCCTTTTAAACAGCTCTCAAGTCCCTTTTTGAAAAGAGAGAGTAATTACAAATACAACCATAATTACATTTTGCTTTGTAAAAGTAAGATCAAAGCTCTGCACATTAACTGTTTTTCTCAATTACTTACAAAGCCTGAGCTCATTTTACATCAACTCTCAAGAACTTTTCCAAATGGAGATTTGGACAGCAGAAACAAATATATGGCTGCACAATGTGTACCCTAACAGACAGGCTGCAGGGGGTCATAAGAGCTGGAGAAAAGCTCTTTTATCATTTAGACACTACTCAAAGTTTGTGTCTATAAAACTCTAATGAAATGCTTAAAGGACACATATTCAGTATATTGTTCATTTGCTGTGGAGCACAACCTGCTTTAGAGTGATGGAACATCACTGTCAAGCCAGGCACCTGCTTCACAGTTTTCTGATATAAATCAGCTCTTTACTATATTTACTAACAGCACATGAGGTGATTCACTTCCTTTAAGAAAAAGGAAGCTATGAGTTAAGTGCATGCTGGTAAATGCCTTAACAGAAAATGTCTCATTTATTCAAATACTGACTGGTGGATCCACCTGTGTCAGGAGTTTAAAACTGACACTTACTGGTACTCTAGAAGTCACAGCTGATGGAACTCATTCAATTTAAATTCAGAAGCCACCACATCAATTTAAATTCAGAAGCCTGGCCTATACAAAGTGTATTTACAATCAGTTCTATACAAGAATGTGTTTGAAAAAACATTATCCTGAAATTATGCCAAGTTCTGTATTTGATGGGAAGATAAAGCTAAAAATAGCTACTTCATGAGTCACAAAGGAAAAGAGACAGACCCGTATACCTTGCTGAGAATTCGGATTATTTGTTTTATTTGTCCATGAGACACTCGTTTACTTATACAGCCAAACACAACCAGTGCTCTTGGCTGCAGGGAGGGGTTGTACTGGAATGCAAACCTGTGGAGAACCAGAGCACACGTATATGTAACAAAATGTACATATAACAAGAGGATGAGAACTCTGGGTATACTGCACAGGCAGGAGGGCTCAGGGTCTGAAGTCTATTACTTACTTTTGAGCTAGTTCAGTCCACTGGTCCAGCCACTTGCATGTTGGAATATCCCTCATACAAGCCTAAAGAGAATTAGATTGTTTGAACAGATGTAACATGGAAAAAATGTATTTGTACAATGGGGAATGTACAGAAGTTTGGCTTTCAGCAATCAGCTGTTAACTGGCAGCAGGGAGAAGGCACATCTGCCTGTTCCTCAGCTCCCCTGCCCCACACACCTCCATGATCTCCAGCAGGGCCTCGGTGACCGTCTCCAGTGAGGTCAGGGCGAAGGTCTCGCGCTCGTAGGAGCCGGGCGAGAAGGACCTGTCGCGGTAGCTGGAGCGGAACGCGATCACCGCCGCCGACTTCACTTTGCTGATCCCAAACAGCAAATAAAACTTGGGCAGAGAGAACTCAGTCAAGCTCAGCCTTAAAACTTGCTTGGTCTCCTCTGTTGAATAAAGTTGCAGATATTGTATTTATACCAGGGAAATTCAAAGGCACACTTCCCCCCCAAGGACACCAACAGCCAGGTCCTTGTGCCCATTCCAACACTGCTCCCTTTGCTACTGCCCCGAGTCAGCACAGCAGCTCTGCTCTCCTGCCCTGGCTGCCAAAATCAGGCACAAGGAATGGATTTGAGAGACTGCTACAGAGGAACTTGTTTAAAGATGTGGCTTTGTGTGTTCTCCTCACAGCGATTCAGAGAATGGAAACCCAACGTGTTCCTGCTCTGAAATACCGACAGAACTGGAAGTTCCAACTGCAGCAGACTCTGCTTTTGGCTCTGGCACTCGCATGAAGAAAGACACTTAAAGCAGAAGAAAATGATGGCCCTGCTCTGGCACTGAATATCTTTACAGCTCTGACCTTACAAGTGATTTCAGTGCACTTCAAACTGTGTGAGCAGGAGGCATCAGAGCACAGACACAGAGACCCCTCTGTGTGCACACGTACCCACTCTCCCTACTGACATGTACAGACATAAAATGAGATTTCAGACACTTAAAAAAAGACAAGACCACATAAATTTTGAATTTTCCTTCTGCACAAAGTTCAGCCTGGTTTGACATTGTGCTTCTGGGCTAAGAAGTGCTGAATTGCTAATATCAATTATTTTAGGACTGGCAAAATACAACAGTAGATAAAATACCTGTTTTAACACTGTAACTTCACAATTCCCTTACGTAATTGGTATTTTTGTTACCACATTATGCAACCCTTCACAAGATGCACATGAGCCAGTTTTAGCACAGATGTATTTTCTCCTTTACCTCACCAGAAAATCACTGGTACTTTCTTCTCTTTTTCTGAAACCCATTATACAAACGATTTACATTATGCACCTCCTCTAAGTAAAACATTTTTTAATTCCATACTCATTTCTTGTAGATCATATCCTCATTCTGATTTGTATCCATGCTGAACTACAACCCACTGCTTTCAAACTCTCAGAATAGTTTACAGAGAAAGACAACTCAAATATTTGTTAAACAAATTAAGGAGCAATCAGCTTCATTGAAAATCCAAAAAAGCTCACCACTGAAGTGAAGCTGTGAACAAGTGCAAAGAGAGTGAATGATGTTGATGACGAGCCCATGAGTGGAAGCTCTGAGGGAAAGGGGCCCTGTGGCCACCAGCAGAGTCACCACGTGGAAAAGGTAGGGGAGATGTGCTGCCACGTCCAGGGAGTTGTTGAAGGAGAGCATGAGCATGTACCGAGCCAGAATGGCAATGTCATCCCACATCAGGTGCTGCTCCAGCGTGGGAGTAGGGGACAGACAGGTCTTGTCAATGATTTTACACATCCTCCCAATCACCTGAAAAGAGAGCAACCATTTTGTTTTCCTCAAACAGGGAGCACAGCTCAAAATTTCAGTAAAAAACATCAACACAACACTGAATTACTCCATTGCTTGGAACCTATTTTATTATGAGTTTTGCACTGTTGCCTGTCCTGAGTTACCAGAAACCATCTCAGTGTCACATTAGTAAATAAGTTGAAATTATTCTATAAAAAGAAACGAAGGCAAAAAGGGAACTCACTTTGCTTGACACCAGTTTGACATTGCCAGAAGCCAGTGCTACAGCTGTGTCTGCCATCACTTCAGCTTTGATGGAGCCCAAGCCCCCTGTGGCACTGGTTTTGATGAAACTGTCCAACACTACATCCAGGAGATCTGTTATCTGAACGAGAAAAAGAATCCTTTCTTACCAGTCAGATTAACTTTACTTTTCCACAGTGAACCACCCTTTAAACAGCAATCATTCACTTTTTAGCTGAACATGCACAACTATCACAAACTGAAGCATACATTTTAGTGACTCTTTTGGCAAAAAGCCCCATGTAAATTTTAGAAGCACAAAGCTGAATTACATTAGGTTTTACTATCAGTGATTCAGAACTAGAAACTATAATTTAGCACTATTTTTATTTTATTTTCCACTTTAAAATATAATTCTTTATAAAATGCTGACCCCAGTAAGAAGAAACCTGATTTGAAGTGCAGGAAAACGTGTGTTTGTTTACAAATGATGCAGAACTCGTACCTGTCCCAGACTGCCCCATATCTTGGCCTGAATGGAAGGGTACATCTGTTTCTCATTGATGGTCATGGTGATGAGCTTGTCCAGGATGGCAGTGACGCGCTGGCGCTTGGCGTCGTCGTTGTGCTTGCAGAAGCGCACCAGGTTGGACAGCCAGGGCGTCATGTACTCCAGGCACAGGTGCTTCAGCTCAATGCCTGCAACAACAGCGCTCATCACACACAGCCAGCACTGGCCTCTGCAGAAATAACTCTTCCTCAGCACTTTTCCTTTCAGTTTTAGTGCCTAAAATAATTACTGTCCAAGTTGAGCAAAGGGCACCGGGAGAAGAGAGAAGCGAGAAGCTTCAAAAAGGCATGGCAAAAGGACAGAGCAACAGAGCCAGTGAGGAAGCTCAGATGACTAAGTTAGATCTAATATATTTTTGGAGATTAGAATCTTTTCAAGCTCATGGTTAGGACCAACTAGCACTGGAGTTACTTACTGGATTTGCTAAATCCTGAAATACACTCCTCCAAGAACTCCAAAGTGAGGTGTGGCTCATTTGCTGCAAGAGTCTTACTGATAGATACAATAAATAGGGTGTTGTTGGCAGGGATACATAGACCTGAAGTTTCCAGTAACTGGCCCTCAATCTTTAAATTAAAGGTACAGGTTAAGGCACATAGAAGATTATAGGCAGCAGACCTGTAACAAAGCAAACAATGTGATTTGTAAGAGCCTTCTTGTACTGTTGAACATATACATGTTATGCATCACAGTACTGACATTTCAAAAATTAATTCAATGCTGTTGTAGTAGAAATTACATCTAAATTCTGAACTTTTTCCCTGGACTGGTTACAATTTGGAGAAAAAAAAGAATTTCCTTGAGAAATAGAAGAAATTATTCCTCCACTTGCACTGAACCATTTCTGAAAAGGTTACAGAGTATGTGTGAAGGGCTGGGTACTGGACTTCTCAGAACAGCTTGGAGTTCCAGGAAATGCTAAATCTTTGCAGGTGTACCTGAGCTGCTGGGAGAGAGCCTGCCCAGAGGTGCCTCTGGTCAGCACCCAGCCTGGGGGAGCCTGTTCTGACACAAATCACAGGCTGCCCTAAGGGGTACAGCTCCCATGTTCTTAAACAAGAAGCTCAACACCATGGAAATCATATGTACCCAATAAACACAGAGTGCAAAGCAGAACAACTTCTCCTTATAAAGAGAAATTAAGGTTCTTTGATGCTTCACTTCCTCTGACAGTGAGTGCCCTTCTTCACTCACAGAAACTCAGTATTTATTAAAAATTGCATTTTATGGAGCTGTGGTGAAAGAAAAACGGTTCTGCTTGAGAGAGGATGTGTAACAGGGAAGGAGGCCAGGGAAGGCTCCCTGTGAGTGAGCAGAGCTCTGTACCGCAGGCTGGGGTCGGAGCTGCCCAGGTTGAGCAGGGCGATGTTGAGCAGTGTCCCGGGCACGTCCTTGGGGCGGATCTTGGTGTGCTGGGGGATGGAGTCGGGCTGGGACAGCTCCCACCGCGTGCGGATGTGGATGATGGACCTGACGATGGCTTCACACTCCTGGTGCATGAAGGTGAGGGGGGTGCCCTGGTTGGCAATGGTCAGGGTGAACTGGTTCTCATCCACCAGGCAGATCTCCTCGATCTCAGAGGCGTAGTAGATGTCATTGAGGAACACGGTCTGGCCCAGCACCCGCGTGCGCTCTGCCGAGGTCACCTGCACCGCTGTTGAGCCAACCTTGGGGACAGAGAACTGCTTCAGCACCTCTTGATAATCACACAGAGAGAGAAAAGCCTCACACTTTTACTTTTAGGAAAGATAAATGCATGAAATTTTGTACTTCCTAATGGGGCATACTAGAAAGTTGTGATTTTGCCTCGAGACAAGGAAGGAGAACTAAGAGATAGTAAAATCATATCCCAACCCCTATACAAATATAACAGATCACTAGCATCAGCAGTAAAAGTACTTACTTTAATAGAAACTTTGGTGTCTTTATGAGCCAGTTTGAGAGCATTGTGGAACACTTTCAAGTCCTCCTCCAAAGCCAAGGTAGCTGCTGGGAGTTTCTGCTGATCGTGTTCGATGTGCTCTGCCAGTTTCCCTGGAGAGTCTATGAAAACAAGCCTTTTGCTCCCTTTCAAACCTGTCAAGAGCCTTTCATGGTATTTGGTGTATTCTCTGACCCAAGAGTTACAGTTATAAATAAAAACTGCTGCAACATTTTCATAAGCAAAGCCTGGAAAAACTACAAACCATTTAGAAAGAAAGTCTGTTTTAAAGCGATTACTGGGGCCAGCATGTGTGAGGTCCACCACGATTTCATATGGCTTTGCATAGTATGGCTTCAAGGTCAGCAGTACATGGTAGATCAGCAAATCCCCGTTGATCTGACCAGTCTTGAACCTGTAAGACAGGACAGACATGGCTGGGTCATGTTGGAGGCCCACAGCACAAAGCCCTGAGTGCCCAGGCACAGCAGGAGCACCCCCAAATCCTGCCCATGAGCCAGACTGACCCTTGGCACAGCCCTGCCTTGGGACACCACACTGGCCTTGGTGTGGTGGGCACTGCCTCACACTCCAGCCACGTTTAGTGCCAGGATGAGAGAGCTCGGATAACTCAGCTTCATCCTGAAGTGCCCCACAACCTCAAGTGCCTATAACTTTTTAACAACCTTAGAGATTCAAATTATATCTATATTTGTATGTCGAAAAAGATATTTATCTCAGGAGTCTTAAGAATAATCAAACATCCACACCCCAACTTTTTCAGAGAGTCCAGAGCCACTCCAATTCCTCTATCCTGCAGCACTCCTATGCTTGGAGGTGTTTCTAAGAATGGTCAGTCCTCTGAGGAGTACAGAGGCTACAAAAATACCTCTTTTCAAAAACATTCACATTAACTGAGAATATTTTTTCTCTTCTAAAGATTCTCTGAATTTTGGGACTGGGTTTCACACAGCAGACTGAATTCTAGTAGGAAGAATTAATTAAAAATAAATTCATCAGCAGCTTGTGAAAATTTAAGGTTATTTAAAATACTTGTCACTGTTCTGAGCTGTCACTAACTCAACTCTTCAAGGCAAACAGGCTACAGAAGAGCTGATAAATGCTCTAAGCACAGGTATAGCTTTAAGGTTTTTGGGACACTTCTCTCAGTAGCACTTGAGTGTAGGACAACCCAGGAGACAGAACACAGAACATTGATCTGCACAAGAGATTTCTTCCCCCGTTACCTCCTGTGGTTCTGAGAGCTAAGCTGGGCAAGCTGGTGTTTTTCCCCCAGTGTGTCATGGTATAGCTGTTACCCAAAGGAAGTGTGTCATCACTGTGGTTTTAGTTCCCCACTTAAAGCCACATGTCATTGCAGTTACAGGTTTGCCAAAAAAACACCAGCACTGTCCAAATCTGCCTGCTGTGCACTGATGGTTGTTTGCATCCTAGGGTCAAATATATGCAAAGAAATCTTATCATCTAAGGACTAAATACCTGAAACACCCATGTTCTGTTGAGTACATCTTGGCAAGGTAAGTACACATTTTCCTTCTATTTTAAACTGTACTTCAAAGTTTTGTAGAAAATTGTATGCAAAAGTATTACAGAAGTTTGAGTAATTAAAAAATAGTAACAGACTGTAGAAATAGTATCTCTAACTGAATCAGGGAAGCTGATAAACAGTGTTTTTCATCATATTAAAGGTTATTCACAGTCAGACTGGAAGGAATTAACAGTGACAGTCACTACTTGGCTCTGTTGTCCCTGCCCTGCAGATCTTGCTGAGTACTGAGACCCTGCCACTACTCAGACACAAAGGGCTGAACTAAAAAGAAAATCATCTCTTTAAAGATCAGTCCCTTTGCTCTCATGGTTTCAAGAGCAGCCCTTCACACCACGAGCCCATTGATTTTTAAGGAAAGCACATCTGGTCTGGGAGCCCACAATGAACACTGGGCTCAGTGTGCTGGGGCAGAGCTGGGAGCTGCACCCTGGGCAGGGACAGGACAGGAACGCTGCAGTGAAGCTCTGCTGGCTCTGCCTGTTCTGCTCAAAACTGCTGAAATGTTAAAAAAAACCCCAAGCATTGCTGGGTTTGCTCTTCCTTTTCCAAGTATACTATAAGGAATCATCCAGGTGACTTCTACCATATATAAACAAAAATCCTACCTGAGCAGTAGCTGATGACTAAGATGATTTCTAGTTCAACCTGAACAAACAGGATTAAGCTCAGGAAGGAGAATAATTTTATGTTATGGGTGAACTGAGCAACATTAAATACAAAGATCTTTTGTTGCTCCTTGCTCCCCTTACACCAGGCAGGTGTATCCCTGCCTTCCCTTCACCTGGTCACACACCAGGAACATCACTTCTCTCATTTCTCGTATTTACACACACATGAACCCACTTTGTTACCTTTACAGGCAACAAACAAAAAATTAAGTGTTACTTTTGGTCACTCTCTGTATCATTTTGATTTGCACCAAGCTGAGTGTATAGTACTCAAAGGAAACACTTTCATCAGTTACCAGAGACAGAAGACAGTGGTGGGATACAGCCCTGCCCTGGGCAGGTCCGGAGCAGCCTGGCCCGAGCAGCAGCACTGCTCATTTGTCATTGTTAATTTGAGGTTATTATCTTTGTATCAGACCAACCCCACTCTCACATTCCTGCCCTCCAGAAAAATTAAACAGGTATGTGGTATTTAAATGCCACACAAATGTGAAACAGAACAAACATATGAATGGTTACTCTCATTTGCATAATGATTGGTGGCGTTTTAAAGAAAATGTCACAATTAGGAATGTTCGGGAGAAAATTACCAGAAGTACATTTGTGATAAAGAGGTTTTTGTACAAAAAGCAGAAAAACAAGAGAACAGAGATTTTCCTGGGCATTTCGAAGTACTCCAGACAGCTGTGCTAGGAACCACACATAATTTCCATGAAGTTATTGCTGTCACTTACAGGAACGTTTTGGGTTCAAGTTTTTCCCTTGCCCGTCTGTTCCCTGCAGGGTTCCCCTGCCTGCCCCAGGGGAATTCAGGGAGGTGAGAAGCAGCCAGTGATCTGTAACTTCCACAGGGTCTTCATGTAAAAGCAGAAGTGGTGACCATGTGTAACACGGGCAGCTTCAGAGAGAAGGAACTCCCAGAGTCTGCCCTGACATCATGAAGCCCTCAGTAGGAAACACTTTTCTTTTTCTCTTTGCTCCATGTTCTTTTTTGATCTTTGTATGTTTTCCTGAAACCTCAAACTGTCAGAAGTTTGAGCCAATCTATTCTTTCACAATCCAGGCACTTGAACTCGTCCTCCTACATCCCCCCCAAAATGAGGCCATGCATTTTTCATCAAGAACCTGCTATTCCCTGAGAAGTCCAATCCAAACCTCTGAGAACCAGCATCTGCTAAACTAGCACCATAATTTGTATTTTTGCAGGGGTCTCAACAGGAAGATGAAGACAAAGACATGCAGTAACTCACACCTGACCTTCCCTGTCATGATTATCTTCTCCCTGTGGCTGCAAACGAGTGCAAATCACACAGGTTACCCACACCTCAGAGAAGAAACCTGGAGTCCCATCAGCCAAAACTTCAGTGGGAGCCAGAACAGGACAGAACCAAGCACAAAGTCTCCTCCTCTGAGCCTCAATTTCACCAGCCAAACGACTACTTTTGAAATGCAAAGTACCCTGCCATCCTTCTCCTCCACCATGACTCAAAATGCAACCTCCCCTGCCCCAAGAGTAGTTTCCCCCATGGGAGGACTGGGGAAAGGCAGCAAACCCAAGAGCCCAATGACCAAAGAAACCTGTGAAGACAATAAGTCTCTCATACTAATTTGCTTCATTACCATTGCAGTTCTTGTGCTCATCTGCACCTCCCTGTTTCTATCCACAGTCATAGTAGCCAACAAAATCTCCTATCTCAAAAGAGCCCAGCAGGGCAAACGCAGGCCCAGGAGCAATGGAGACCTCCTGGCCACCAACAGCTTATGGCCCACGGCATCAGGAACGTGGCAGAGGATGCCCAAGGAGACAAGTGGAACCGAGCTGATAATGCAGGAGCTGCTATCAGGGAGAGATGCTGTGAACCAAAAGAAAACTGAAGATAAAACTACTGAGAAACTCACCAAAGCAGCAGATAATGAACAAGAAAGCAAAGAACCATCCCAATCGCACAAACCCATTTTAACCAATTTTGTAGTTGAGATTTAATTCATACTCAAGTAAAAATTCATTTTTTGCCTTTGTTACACCATTAATGTAAGGTAAAAACTTGGATTTCAAGCAAAACCAAGAATTTTCCCCCATGAAAGCCAAATCCAGATTTTAGAGTTCTTCCATTTATGCCAGAGGGAATGCTGCAGCCACGTGTGGATCCAGAAGGCAGCAAGACTGTGTTAAATGGCTTTCTGTATGGAGCATCAAGACTGGTTTTACGGCTTTGAGCAGACATCAGGGTGACAGGAGCTGAACAGGAAAAAAGGACAGAACCTGCCCATGCACAAAGACCACAGAGGGGAATAAGGAACAGACTGTCAGTCTGATCCACACGCTGAACACTAAGATGCTGCACAGGCATAATCCAGTCACTTTTTAAAGAAAACCATACATTAGTCACAACTCTGATTCAACCATTAATCCAGGATCTAGTCCCTCTCAAAATGCCCTTTTGGATTTTTCATCAAGAACTTCTTAAACCAGCTTAATTGCATTTGAAGGAGACTGATTTAAACCATATTTACAGTGTTTCAACATTGTCTATGAATAGATGAAATTTGTAGTATTTGCTGGAATATGAGATCTTGTTCAATTTGTTATCTTCAATAAACTTGCAGTATCAGTTTTTAAATTACGTTCCTGATACTATTTCTTTAAGTCAGAATGTTAGAAAAAAACATGACCAGGCATTTTGGAATGTTTTATTCCTGTAACATTGGCTGAGCTCAGTAAAGGTCTCTGATGATTCACTGTGATTTCCTGCATCATGGAAACACTCCACTTTCTCCTGACACCAGAAAGAACATGCCAGGAATTCCTTCAAACCACAACTTTTAGTTTCTTTATTCTCAGAGAGCTGACCGTCCCATAATTCCAGGGAGGTGCCTGTGGCTGCTCTCCTGGCAGCAGAGCTTTGCTCTTTTAAGGAAACGTGAGAAGCTTTCCCCAGGCTGCTCCTTGGGCTGAAGGAGCTCTGTTGCACTGTGGTTACAAGTGCTGAGACTGCACAGTGCCAAAGCTCCAAACATCCTGTGCAGCTGTAACCAACAGCTGTGACACGTAAGATGGTGGTACGAGTTTGAGAGGACCAGGATGACTGAATCCCCCACCCCAATTCCACTAGGTCACCCATTAACTTGGCTGGCAGGGCACATACAGCAGCACAGGCAGGACCATAGCGCTGTGGCTGCCAGGAGAGAGACAGAACCCAAAAAATGCAACTGCCAGGCTCAAAGGTGGGTTGTGTAGTGAGGAAAAGAAAGTTGGAAGGAGTTTGCATGCTTAGCCTGGAACTGGGAACCAGTTACGTGGGTTGAAGAGAACAGGGAGGAGACAAAGAAATCAGACAAGAAACACCAAGTTAGTGTGAGTGTGGGATCAGGATGTGCATTTGCTGCAGGAGCAGGCAGTGTCAGAGAGAAGCAGTGCAGTCAGGGAGGCACAACAGGAAGGGCTGCAGAGGAATCTGTCAGTAGCTACTGGCAGGACACAATTGCAAAATGCCATGAGGACATATTTGGTGTGGGTTTCTTTCCGCCAGGCAGCGTTTCCAGGCAAAAATGCTCACGGAGAACAAAGAGTGCAGCTTGAGTTACACTCTATGGTCTGAGCAGGCACACTCAGGGGGAAGCAGCTGCTCAGAGCACAGCCCTCCACCAGTGGTGGCTGCAGGTCCCAGCGCTGTCCACACAGAAAAACAACCAAGCAAGTAGGGACAGGCTGAGGGTGAAATCAGGTTTTGCCCTCTACCTCTCGATGCAGCCACACAAGAGAGGATGTGTAAGCAGCCACATCCCATGACCACACAGCTTTCCATGACTCACCAAGGAACCCAGGTGGTTTCCCACTAATAACCCTGAGAGCACAGCAAACCCACCACTGAATTACATCAGCAACGCACATCCAAACTTGCAGTTTTTGATTCACACAGAAGAAACTATAACTATTTTCTACAAAGACAGGCAGACAGGTATTTGAGAATTTCCACACAAACACACAGAGGTGCCTGCCGTGGCAAGAACCACAGACCCATTTTTCCAGAAGCCCAGCACAGCCGGCAGGGCAGGAGTTTGCCCGTAGAACACAGGATCTCCCTGGCAAGAGCCCCAGGCTGCCCGGCACAGACACTTCCTGCCGGCGGTGGCAATTTCCTCCCTCTCTGCACAAACTTCTGCTGAAAAGAGCCATTTTACACTGTTTGACTCTGAGCACAGACAGCCCTCCTGAGCCTCCAAACAACAAAGGCAGACGGTGCTTGCTTCAGAGAAGATAAATGTACAGGTAAGGATCAACTTCAAGTATTGAGTCTATTTTGAAAAGAGGGGAGCTGGATAAAAACTGGATTGAATCATTTTAACCCATTACAAACCTGACAGTTTAGATCACGATGTTCTCGAGTCATTAACTTACTGCTCGTGTGTGTTTACACTGCTGCATTTAAAATTTAATTTTGCATATTTGTAAACCCGTAAAGACTCATGCATATTAATTTCCGAGAAATAGCTTCACAGGACTAGCACTATAGTAACTAATGAATTAGCTCAAATTGCATGAAAGCAACTTCAGAAGGAAAAGAGCTGTGTAGGGGATGAATTTTGTATCATTTATTTCACATGGAGACATTTAGAGCTCAACTCTAATCAGTACAGGAAAAAAAGTCGGTTTCATGCCAACAGCTCAACATTTGCACAACCTGCATGCAGGAATTTATTTATAAAATACTTTACCATTAGAATGCTGTGTCATTATAGCATCAGTACTTGGAAAACTTTTAATTATTTTCCTATGCTGAACAAATATGAAAACAGGAATAAAAGTTTAAGAGAATTGTAAAGAGCCTTTCACTTCTGTCTCAGCTTATATCACAACAAGCCGTTTCTTCACTTCTGACAACCCTGCCTGTCAATGCTGCAGAGTTTGTTCTAGGTCCATAGCCAGTTACATGACTGATAAATGCTATTTTGAAATGCTGTGAGGACTGCTCTGCCAATGCCTTTTTCTGATAAGGTGGAAAAAGATGATAATAAGCCATCACCTTCAAACAGGCCACTTTATTAATATGATCAGTAATGCTGAAAATCTGCTGTTATTTGTAAAGTCAGTGCCAAACCCACTGATCATGCAGATGGGAACAGGCTTGAAATGTGAAATATGGTAGAGACCATTATTTTCACTATGATGGTATTAACACAGAACTGTCTGGTGGCACTGAAGTGCAGAAATACAGTTTGTGAGTTACCATGTTGTACTTCTTCCCTGCATTAGGAGAGGACCCTTGTAAAGAGGCTGGAGGAAAATGGCCAGTAACCAGATCGTGCTGGTTCTCTTCTGTGGGGAAATCTGGAGCTCCCTTTCTGCAGCAGCACCTCACCACGCTGCCACGACCGAAAGCCACACGTGCAGCACTGCCGCGAGCCCACGCACAGACAAACGCCCTCTCTACCAACTGCAAGCAACTGGGCCCAGTTTCTACCAGTCTGCCACATCCCTGGCTGTAACAGAACCCCAGGCCTTGCCAGGGGAGGAGGAAGCTGGGGACGGCAGCTGGGTAGCTGCGCTGCTAATTGGCCTTGTTTTGATTGGGATGTTGCTGGCAGTTCTCATCATTCTCCTGTGGAAATGCTGCATGGGGCCTGTTCTGGCCGAGTCCCACTGGGCAGGCCGGTCCCCCTTCATGGATGGTGACACGCCAGATCTCTTCATGGACTCTGACCATGGCACCAAGCGCTCTTCAGTCTTATTTATGTTGCCTTGGAGACTGAATCAAGGCACAAAATTGCAGGAGGACTCGACTACCTCAGAGAACCCACCCCACCTCAGTACCAGTACTGAGAACGGGCAGCTGCCTCCACCGGCCGTGGGCTGCTCCGGAGCCGGCACGGCCCCAGCCCCAGCTCCTGCCTCGGAGCCAGCCAGCACTGCAGCTGACTCCTGTCCTCCCCCAGACACTCCAGCTGTGTGCCCTGACCTGCCACCACCCCCGGACTGGCTCTGGGAAGCCACCGAGGAGCCCAGCTCCGATCCCAGCAAGCCCTCGGCACTGCACTTGGAAGCAGAGGAACCACAGCCCTCAGCACCTGAGCTACTGATCCAGGAGATCCATGAAACACTGCCCCAGCCAGAACACCCTTTGTAGACTGCCAGGTTAACTTCCAGAGTACCTTTTTCTTTTAATACATTTTTCTTATTTTCAAAAAAGTGGAAAAAGGAGAAGTTGATGCAGGCAAGAACAGTGAGGCCCCTTGACACTTCCCTGGTGTTTCCCAACTTCAGCTTTCACAAGAGAGAACAACCTGCTTCTGCCTGAAGCAAATCTCTGAGTACAATCCGAGCTGTGCCCAGTCATCACCCATCAGCAGAGAGTGCAGGAGGCAGAGCACACAGCTGTGTGTGCCGGTGACACGCGGGGAGCTCAGACACAGCCCAGCTTCAGAGGGACCCGGCTTCACTCCCCTGGGCGGGGCAAGTGAACGCAACCCATTCCAGGCCACTTTAATAAAGCTTTCTGAGTCAAAGATGTTTTGGTCACTTAAAGCCCACCTGAATATTTGCTTAGATACAGAATGCACTCAGTTACCAACACAAACTCATTTAATGGTTCATGGGTGTAAGATTCTTTCGAGTTCCCAGTGTCCAAGTGCTTTCCATGCTCCTCTCCGGGCCCTGAGTACCAGCACAGCTCATCTCCCCCACACCAGCCTTGGCTGGGCAGTAGCAGGCTGATACCAGAAGTAAATAATTTTATTTTTTACCAGTATTGAATATTTATATTTATAGAAAGAAGCTAATAGTCACTGAAGCTAGCCTTCCATGAGAGCTCTGCAAAATGGCAGAGTTTGCAGTTCACTTGAGGAGGGAATAGATTTCTGGATGGACCACAGAAAAAAGACTTGCACACAGTAAACCAGAATTTTCAAACTATCACTAATAAGGAGTAGTACGCTATCTAAATGCAACTCCAGGCTGCTGTGCATACAATGGCCATAGGAAAATATATTTTCAATTTCCTTTCCTGTTTACATAAGCTGTATGATTTGGTATGCCTAAAGAATAGCATTACAATTATATGAAGATTTTTGTACAATTCAAGTCATACCCTGTTAAAATTAACAGTTCTATAAACCAAACATTATAAACACTCTCACTCTCATATTGCTTTGAGAAAATCAGATGGTGATTTCCTGTACAAATCCATAAAATCCTACAAGCTGAGCTGTATTATACCTGACAACACAGTGACAGCCTGATCTGAGGAGCAGAAAACAGAGTATTTTAAATTATGAAAACATATTCTGGCAGTGTAGCTTAAAAAAGCTTCAGCTAGAAAGCCTAAATTCACATGAACCTCTATTGCAGGAGGAGAGATTAACAGGAGGCAAAAAGAAGCCAAGCTAACCTGCCTTTTCAAACAGCCACCAAGTGGAACGGCAGCCGGAGCTGGCAGAGTGGGCGTGCGGGGGAGCGAGCAGGCAGCACGAGGGGAGGGAGCAGGAGCCCCCAGGGCTGGGCAGTGGGCACTCCCTGCTCCTGCTCTGCCCAGCCCTGGCAGGGCTCGAGGCCGGCTCTGCAGTGCCCAGAGGATCAGGTGGTTGCGGAGCCGGGCGCAGCCGTACGATGCAGCTGAGACAAGCACAGCCCCTGGCAGCCTCTGGAGCTGCTCTCCAGAACGAGGCGACCTCTACGCTCCAATCCATCACAGAAACGATGTGCTGATACTGCAGGACACCACGGTAAGTTTGTGCTTTTTGATTTTACTGACAAAATCCTACTACCGAATCAGAGGTGGAAACAGGAATAGAATTAGGAGCTGATGACAGATGCTTGCACCAGGAATTTGCTGCAGTATCAGAGATTTCTTACTAACGGTAACTCGGGTTCTAAACATGTGTTTCTAGCTTTGAGATCATAATTAACACTGTAAGGAGGGAAAAACGCTACAGTGCATGTTAGCACGGACACTGGAATTTGGGTTTCAAGGTAAATTCCTACGATGTATTTTAACCTATTTACTTAAGCAAACAGCATGCCTGGATGGGGGGGACTGCTACATTACTGCAGAGATTTGTGAAGATCCAGTTGACAGCCATTTTTTCATCCTTTATAAATGAACACATTATTCCAAACATAATATAGGCTTGAAATCACTAAAAACAAGAAGCAGACATTGTATAACGTTTGGAAGAGACTTGCATTTTCGGAAGAAAGCCCTCATTTGAGCTGGAGGGGGAAAGGGAGATGAAAAAAACAAGTCTCATTCTGCCAGACAACATGACAGGCTGAAGGGATGCTTTGTGAAGTCTCTCTTGAACAATTCTAAAAAGGACTGTGCCACAAAGGGGGTTATTGATATTTTTACTTAATTTCTCCTGCAAGTGGCCATTGCCAAGACAACCCTTATACAGAGATAAAATGTATTACATGGATTTAAAGGGTGCCATTTTGGTATATTTATTTCCAGGCAACAATGGAATACCAGATATTGAACACATCTACCTGTCTGCTGGTCCTTCTGGTTTTCATACCCACTGGTTTGGGTCTCTGTCCTTCTAGCTGTAAGTGCTCAGGAAACGACAGGAATGTGGACTGTTCAGGCAGAAACTTAACTGTACTGCCCCAGGGACTTCAAGACAACCTTACATATTTAAATCTGTCCTTTAACCAGTTTGTAGATCTTGATCATCAGCTAACGAGGTTCACCAATCTGAGGACCCTTGATATTTCAAATAATTGGCTCAAGAATGTTCCTGCTCATCTGCCCAAGTCCTTATGGGAATTATATGCCACAAACAACAACATTAAAGTTCTTCAGAAACTTGATACAGCTTACCAGTGGAATCTCAGAGTGCTCGATATTTCCAGGAATATGGTGGAAAGAGCTGTCCTGATCAACAACACACTGAGCAGTCTCAAGTTTCTCAATCTCAGCAGCAACAAACTTTGGACAGTTCCAACCAACATACCCTACAACATAGAGACAGTGGATCTATCCAATAACTTCTTGTCCCAGATACTCCCAGGAACACTGGTGAGACTGCAACACCTCACAAGCCTCTACCTGCACAACAACAAGTTCTCATACATTCCTGACAAAGCTTTCGACCAGCTCTCCCAGCTGCAGGTAATAACTCTGTACAACAACCCCTGGTCCTGCAGCGATAACCAAAACATCCCTTATGTGCTGCAGTGGGTGCAGGGCACAGCTGCCCGTGTTGTGGGGGTCCCCTGTGCCGAGCAGCCCTGGCTCTGGGCGAGCACCGCGCCAGCCCCGGCCCAGTCCACGGCGCTGGACTCCAGTCCCATGGTCAAAGGCACAAAGGCAGAGGGCAGGGAGGCTTCTGCTGTGGCGCCTGAGCCCACCAAAGCGACCAAAATGCACAAACAATTTAAAGCCAAGGAAGTCCCTGCCTTGGCGACCCAAAGCCACCCAGCTCTGTTCCCCGGCACAGACTGGCCCCGGCTGCACGTCCCCGCCGGCCCCCAGGAGGCCATGGCCACACGCACAATCCTCGCCCAGGACTCCACCGAGGGCAACGCCAGCCTGGCTCCTGCCACAGGATCCTCCACCACTCCCATGACTTTAAGCATCACCAGTGGAATGCCAACAACCAACTCCAAGCTGCCTCAAAGCACAACCGCTACCTTAAGGAAGGAGGAGACCACGCCGAGTGCCCCGGACGCGCGCGTGCCCTCCCGCGCCAGCCGCTGGCAGGTGGGGCTGCTGTGCCTGGCACTGCTGCACGCCCTGGCCGTGGCCATGGACTAAGGGCCCCCAGCCCACAGAAACTACTGAGCTGATGTGGTAACAGCTGGAGTTAACGCATCCAGCTGAAATAATGAATGAAAGAAATTCCAAGTCCAGACTCTGATCTAAAGAAAGTAACAGTTCTTAAAGACGCACACACTAACGTCTTGATACTAAGCTGCTACTTATTTTCATATGTCTTAATTGAGTACAACTAATCTATTATTTTGGTTTTAAAAATGTGCTTATTTTGTATTTAAATTCTTCCTTTTACTTGCACAGAATAAACACATCAGCATTTTAAGTACTAATTTAATGTATGATTTTGTCATCAAACAACTGGATAAAAACAGAAGGCCTGTATCATATCTGCATTGTCTTGCTTGACTTGCCGGTGAGCAATTCCTGTAATATAGCAGCACAGATTCCTTGTAAGTTATGATGACATGCAAAAGAAAGGGAAAAAATAAAAGAACTAAACTGAACTGTTTCACTAATCAGAAGTTATTCCTGAGCAAAATCGCTAGCATGTGTATCTATGTTTGCTTCATATGTATTAGAGTATTTTAAATATGAAGAACAACCGTTTCGAATTTAGGAATTAAATATGACAATGCCATGATGTCTGCTATGAGGGTGTAAACTGAGATGGCAACATGGTCTAACTTCAGCATGGGACAGTGGTAGGGGCTAGTATTCCTTCTGCTCTGGCTTGACTTAGAGACTGCAGGCAAGTTATTACTCTCTCCATATTAAAAAAAAAAAAAAAAAAGAAGAAAAAAAAGATAAAAGTAGAGAAAAATGCCAAATGTTCAATGCCATGACACTGTCAAACACCAAGGTGTTATCTACCCAAATTAATGACCTGGAACTCCTTAACTTTATGTCAAGTGGCATCCTGAAATGTTAATATGTTCTGCTTAAAAGAATACCACAAATCAGCCAGAAGGTAGCAAACTACTATCAGTAAGACAAAACATCAGCCAATTTCTAACACGAGTCATGTAACAAATCAATTAAGCAGTTAGCTGGTGAGCTGTCATTGAAATAATCCTGACTCTTGTGACTTCAAAGAGAATGAATCCAGTCCATGGCACTGAACATGCCCAAATCCCTGCTTTCTAAGGGCGAGCATGGATGCTCTTCTCCTCGACATCCGCACCGTCAGCCAGTAGAAGTAGCTGCACGCATGGTTCTGTCCACTCTAGGAAAACTATTTAAATTATGGCAAAGGTACTTGATATACTACAGATGAAGTTTTGCAAACAGCATGAAATGAAAACTGAAGAACAAGTTAATTGAAAAAGTATTATCCACTTAATACTACAGATCTTATACAATGTTTTTCATTCATTCCAGGCCATTTAATTTCCAGTTATTGTAGCATGAAGGTGCTGCAAAACCCAGAAAACCTCACAACTGAGACGGGAGTCCTCTACCAGTTTCCCCTAAGGTGTCAATGGGGGCTGTAGATCATTTACAACCACTGGTATCAGAGAAATGACAACTTTCCAATTGTGAACAGTATTTCTATAACCGGAAATGTGTTTTAATTTCTAACAGTAAATGTTACACAATGGATTTGTACAGTTATTTCATTGGCATTTAAGTAAAAATAAAGTTATGTTTGTATTGAACTGAACTAGCAACTGTGCTTCTTTTCTAATAAGTAGAGTAATAGAACAAATAGATAGCATTGTATTATACAATGTATTATACAAACCTGTTTAAAGCAGACATTAGGCTCCATTGTCATGTCTTATGGGGGGAAATTATGGTTATATTAAACTGCATTATTTAGATACTGATGGATCTCTAATACTGTTCAGCAATAAGCTGGTGAGATGGTCACAACATTGGTACTATCCTTTCCCTTCCTACCCTTTAGAACTTAGAAACACCAAAGAAGTCCCTGCTGCTGCTCTCTTTGGACAGTCCCTGTGTTGGCTAAGTGCTGGCTGACTGTAGCACCAACCTATTTCCCATGCTCTGAACTCAGCAATTCCCAGAACTGCCTCATCCCACACAGTGGGAGCAGCAAGCTTGCAAGGCAGGACTCATCACAAAATGAGGTACTGTGGCTATAGTGCTTGATTTGAGGAAATTACAGGAAATACTGCATGTGTCTTTGCTGCAGAATCAGTACAGGATGCCAAATTCTACTGCATTTAAAAAACCTACACGGAATCAACTTTTAAATTTAAATTAAATCATAATTTAAATAATGAGACAATCTGGTGACCAGCAACAAGAAAACACTGCTTCCCAGAGGTTATCTGGGGCAAATTGCAAGCCCCCACCTTAAAGGACTTGCTACCCAGCCTTCAAACTCCTCAGCATGCCTGAAGGAGGAACTGGGAAGTGGAACTGAGGCTATGGGGTTTTCCAAAAGCAGGGACAGGACTGGGAAGCTGGGTATGAAGAGAGCCAGCACTGCTCCAGGGCTGCACTCCCTCCCAAACCCTGCCCGAGCTGCAGCACCAGCGCTTCTTGCTCACACTGCTTTCAGTGAAGCAGACTGGAATTGAGGCTTCCTGGTATTTTTCTGGAATACGAATGAGTCGATAAGGCAGCAGGGAGGAGGCAGAAGTGTGGGAGTCGAGCACTTGTTGCTGGGCAACTGCGCAGACACTCTGAGCTAAGCCCAAGGGCCGGGGTTTGTAAACACGCTGCGTGCTCAGACCTCCAGAAATTCAAAATAATCTATTCTTGGTGAAACTGGTATTCAAAACAACTATTTAGCATTTCAGGGCAAGATTCAAAATACCCAAAAAAGCTGTGGTACACCTCTAATAGTTGTGTGCTCTCTCTGGAAAGGGTAAAACCGCTGTGGGGATTGCTGCGCCTACAGCAATAACTCAGAGGTTTTATTCCTATTAATTAGTTTGGGATCAGCTTTAAAACCTAATGGCGGTAGTTCAGGATCAATATTTATTGATTTATGGATCATTTTGTAACTGGTTAGGGATTAAAAACAGAAGAGCACTGGCTCCAGAAGCTGGGTTGTTGCCCAGGAAACAAAATGTGAAGATAGATGACAGAAGGAATTAAATTTCACAGCACAAGGACATAAACTGATCCAGATATCTTAGTAAAATGACTCAACAATGCCTTAGCAACAAGATCTTCAACTAAAAAAAAAAAAAAGAAAAAAAAGGGGAAAAAAAGGGGGAAAAAAGCAACCCCAAAAACCCCAGCCTGCTACAAGCCCTCAAACACCCTGGCAGCTCCAATCTAAACCATTTCTCCAAATTTTACACCTTGAAAATACAACATCTGGCTCAGAACCAGAAGACAAAGACCCCAAATAAGCTCCACTTAGCCACATTCCTATGAGAGGATGCCAGAGCATCATCCCAGAGCAAAGCCCTTCCTGCTGGTTTGGAAGGCAGCCCTGCCAGGATTGCTGAATTGCGCAGCTGCTGAGTACAAAGGTAATAACTCACCTAGCAGCAAAGCTCATGTTGAAGTACAACAATATTTTCATTAATACCCCCACCTGGATAAAATGGTCAGGAATCTGCTCCTTCCCACCTCTCTGAAGGCAGGAACACTTGGCTGATGGGACCAAGACAATTTTGCCCAGTGAGGCATCTCTGTATAAATTAATTTTTCTTTTTAATTTTTAAAGAAGAGGGAGGTGAGTTAAGCCTAGAAAACATGTGGTGCAAACTTTTGCCTTGATTTACTTCCAGAAATTCTCTCTCTGCAGACGAAATAACCATTTCTTGCTCTGCAAACAAGGAAGCACTGCATGGCAGGTCTGCACAGAATACATAAGGATGCCTCAGATCACTGCCAGGCACAGTCACTTTTTAAGATGGGTTATCACTACTCTCTGCATTTGTATGCCTAATTTCTTGTCTGAACAAGGCAGGATAACAATGCAGGCATTTTGTTTGACTTGACATGAAATAAGACTGTGCCTAATGGAACAAAATGGAGAAGAAAAATGTGGCAAGCAAACAGAAATTCTCTTCTTTTTAAAAAGAATTCAAAAGACTGCCCTTGCTTCTAACTCTGTGCATGTAAGGGGCTTAAACATTAGGGATCTTGCTAAAAGAAAAAAAAAAAAATTAAAGGGGGGCAAAAAAAACCATCCAGGCTGCCTTTGAGCCAGCCCCTTCTGTCAGCACACCTGCACATTTCATGGACTGTTGTGTGGCTTTTGAAGGACAGAAAATCAGGACAGAAGATAAGTGACACTACTCATCTTGTGTTCCTTCACTCCATTCAAAGAATCACCACTGATGACATCCTCTCATCACAACACTGAAAGTGGCCCCCCACTGCCACCACCACAGTCAGCAGGGAGCAAGAAGCACAGAGCTACCCAGCATCCCCAGGCAGGCCTCTGCTCCCAGAGGCAGAAAATGCACCAGCAATGACCAGACCACGAACACCCAGGGGCTGTGCCAGCACCCCAAAGTGGCTGCTGACACCAGGACTGGAGAACTCCCAGACCTGGCAGCACTCCCACGGACCCCCCGAGCCAAAGCAGCCTCCCCAGTGCTGCCAGCACACCCCCACCAGCAGCACCTCAGCACAGACAGCAGCTTCAGCAGCTCATCCAGTCCTCAGAGCTGCCTCTGACCACACCTGAGTATGAGCACACACATCTTCCTTTCCTTAACACTGCTAGGAATGACTCCTGTCATGAGCATAATTATTACGTAATGGCAGTTTTGGTTTAGGAAACAACTCAGAAACAGTCAGCAAATTTTAACAAATAAGCTATTTTCAGACTCTTGTTACCAAGCTGATGTTTCCTATATATAGGAAACATCACTTGATACCTTTGATTGACAGATTCATTTCAGATCGGGAAGGCGAAAGGTTTCTTACCGCCGAGCAATGTAGTAGAAAACAGGATTGCCAACTTTGGATGTCCCAGCTTGGTAGAAAATATTTAATGTTTTCAGTGCTTTGAACTCCTCCTTTTCGTGTACTTGATGCCTAAAAAGCAATACATTGACATCAACTTCCACAACTGCCTTCCAAACAAACTTTAAAAATCCCAAACCCTCTTTACTTCCATCTCTGAACAAAAGTACTAAGTTCACACAATCTTCAGCCTTCCTTAAAAAACATATGTTACCACCATTTCTGGTTTCCAGATTTATTTTTTTTTAAATTGAAATCTACTCAGAAACCTAAAACATTTATGTAGACTGTTTTTTAAACTCCCCTTTGAAACAGAGATAGTCTTGATAGCAGAGATTCTTAGGAACTACTGACACCTCCTCACATTATAAAGCCTAGAAACCCACATGTGTTCCCACCACAATAATCTTATTACCTTGTCATAAACTCTTCAAACTTGGAACTAGTGAGATTTAAGCTGGACCAATGTGTATCTGCCACAGGTTTGTGCTCAGGAGGCCCCAGGTAGGCAAGAAGTGTTGCCATCTTGTCAAAAGGTCGTCGTCCAACAGCCTTGTGGTCCCTACAAACAACATGTTTTTTGTCAGTAAAGTCTTTCTTTACTCAGCAATTCCCACTACCCTTCCTCAGCTGGAGCAAGCTGCATTTTCTTTTTTAAAGTATGAGAAATCTTCAATGATATTCAATGATATTCTTAGTAATAACAGGAGCAACAGAAGAGAGCATTTCCAAATATTAACAGCTTTTAGATGATGGAGGGGAGGTTTAGATTGGATATTAGGAAGAAATCCTTTCTTGTGAGGGTGAGGAGGCCCTAGCAGAGGGTGCCCAAAGCAGCTGCAGCTGCCCCATCCCTGGCACTGTCCAGGCCCAGGCTGGACAGGGCTTGGAGCAACCTGGGCTAGTGGAAGGTGTCCCTGCCTATGTGCAGAGAGTGGGATGGGATGAGCTTTAAAGGTTCCTTCCAACCCAAGCCATTGCAGGAGTCTGGGAGCTTTCCCCTCAGCACACCCCCCCGTGCCAGGGCTGCAGCCTCACCTGTTGCTGGACAGGTACTGGCCGATCTTCTCCTGGTTGTTCCAGAGCAGGCGGTGCAGTGCCAGCACGTTGCCGTCGCTGATGAAGGACAGGCTGTGGTTGACGGTGTCGCTGGCTGGGCAGTCGGAGGCGATGTCAAGGAAAAACCTGCAATTCAGACCCAGGAGCAAACCTCAGTGTGGGGAGGGACAGCCAAGGGCTGGGGACACTCAGAGCTCTCTGCACACACCACGACCCCTGTGCTGGCCCCAGGCCGTACCTTCGTGCTGCATCAAAATTGCTCTTCACAAAGTCATTGAAAGGCCGCATGTGCTCCTCCTTTGTAAACAGCACGTGGTTAGCAATACTCTGAAGGATCTAAAGGAAAAAAATCATGGCAAAGACACACAAAGGTTTAATGTATTAACTGTTACAGTAATTGACACAAATATTTCTGCCAGTGAAGGTAAACTGGCAGAAACAGTTTATTTTCACTTGTTGTCTTGAGGTTTCACAACAAAAGGCCAGTAAGTCAAATAATTTAAAACACATTCACTTTCAAAATCTTTTCCTTCTCATATTTTTAAATACTAAAAACCAGTTCACTTATTTATGAACTTTAAACTAGGAAAATAAATCATCTTTCAAACCACCAGTAAGTTATTAAGTACTTCTCCTGGAATTTAAGACAGGTAGATAAAAGCACTAGCACGCCCCTATCTAAAGAAGAATTTCTCAGCATTTACAATGGACAATATTCACAGGCCACAGACTTTTTATGCCAACATTAGACCTTTTTTTTTTTACAAGAAATATGACCAAATGAGATTGAAGACAGGAAAATCCTTTCTTTAGCAGTGGGATGAACTCGATAAATGCTGGTTGCTGCTACCCTCACTGTGCTCTCACAGGAACATCGGTCTGTTAGTTTCCAAACAAGAAGTTCAAGTGAAGGGCTGGAATTCTGCTCTCTTATCCATCCTTTTGGCCAAGTGTTTGTCCCCATCCTTATGCTGCTGAGCTCAAACAGTGCCACGATGCACCAGCACAGCACAGACACTGCACCTTCAAGGAACATGACGGTTGCAACAAAGAGCTCTCCATTTCCCCCCATTTTCACATATTGGTCAGAGCAGTTCTGAAGCAGGCAGAACACAAAACCTGGGCATGTAACAGTGTTTGGGGATTCACCTTTGACATGAGCTTGAGGCCGCGCTCGATGCGGGGCGGGGGTTTCTTGTCCAGGATGCCCGCCTCGTACGGGGACACGATGGCAGGGTTGATGAAGCGCAGGAACATGGCGCTGCCCACGGCCCCGATGCTGTTCTGGGGGAAGCGCTGGCTCACCACCTGGGCATGGACAATTACACACAACAGTCCTGCATTAAGCAGAGGGCAAGGGCTGACAAAAGCCTAGCATGGCAAGCCAAGCCTAAGCGCTCTTTCCACACTGATCGTGCTCAGCACATTGGAGCAGGACTCTCTTGCATCCCAGAGAACCAGAACAAGAGGGAAAGGAGAGGGGCTCTCAGACAGCAGCACAGCTCCCTTGGCAGGGACACGGCTCCCACAGCTCCTGGCCATGTCTCAGAGCTGTCCCCACACAGGGCCCTGTTCCTGGAGGGACCCTGCAGGTGCTGCAGCCCCAGCCCCAGGTGTGCACTGCCCTACCCCAACACAGGGAACACCTTTCACCTACTGGGTCTTTGATCTGTGTGTTTGTAACTGCACAGCTGAGCCACGAGCCTCTCCAGCAACAACACTGTGTTGTACAGCTGCAGGAGTCATTTCCAATTTGTGAGGAGGAGCTATTTGCAGAAATACCCTTCAGAACCATCATCTGTCCACAGCAGGACGGAAGGAGACAGAGCTGAGTGGCCAGTGCACTCCTCTGCCTACACACACACTGTGTAAAACCACTCAGCAGATTTAAAATATTGTCCTTTGCCACCCAGGAAAAAAATAATTCTGAAGATGTTGAAAGAAAAAAGAAATCTCTTTTCTTTTAGGAAATCAATTATGCGTTACTAAGAGGAGAGTTGTTCTTTGGATATCTTTCATTTAACTTTGAAAAGTTAAAGACAAAGCTTCCTGACAAAAAATAAAGTTCTTGGATATGCAACATGTGGTTCTATAAAACATCAGTATCTGTATATTGTAATGAGTAACAATGGTTAATCCAAATGAGTCAGATTCCTTTTCACAGAATAAAATTAGTCAACTTGATATAATCCTGTATAGTTTAAAATAATAAAAAGCCCTTCAAACAAATCCCAGTTTAGTAAAATACATCAAAACATAACTAATGCATTCTCAAATCATGCTGCTTAAACCAGACAAAGCCATTAGTACAAAATACACCAAGAATCACTTTGGTTCAGTAGCAACTCCAGTCAGTTACCTTGCGATGCAATTACTGATATTTTCTTGTAAAATACTGGTTTGCCCACAGCTTTTGCATTTAAAACATGATTACTATTCTGCTCGTTTACAACAAATATAAGAGAGTATTTAGTAGAAGTCAAAATTTCCATTCTGGTTCATTCATACTTTATATTTTGAGGTCACTGCCAAAGAAAATAATAAGTCTGAACTTCTAAAGACAACGTTCTAAAGCAACCCATGGGTCTAAATCCTAACACATCAAGTTACTTAAATGGAAAATCTGCTTTTCTCAGGAAATAATACAAGTGCTGAAGTTGGGGTTTTCTTACTTAATTACAAAACAAACAAAAGAAAATGTGCCAGACACAAGTCTCATGAACTTCTTTCCAGTACCCCACAAATATTAATTGTTCTTTGCCCAGGATGCAAGCTCAGGTTATCTGCCAGAGTGTTAAAGCAGCTCAAGAGACACAGATTTTTCTCAAAACCAAAGAAAACATTTTTCTTCCACAATTTTTTAATTTGAAGATGGTGGCAAGACTAGAAGAGTCAGAATATTAAATACTAAGCAGTAATGTTAAAAATATCTCATTTACTCAAATAGGCACACAGAGAATATTTTAAATCTAACTTAATTCCAGTGTTAATTGAAATGAAAGCTATTTTGTGCCAGAATTAGTAGAATGATTTTACAGTGAAGTCAAATAGACTGAAGTGAAGATATTTTGAACAAACAGCAAAAGATTTCTGTTGTGCTTTGAAAGAAATGGCTAATAAAAAGGTCTCCAAACTTACTGATTTTTTGTTTTCCTTTTTTTCTTTTACGGTAGCTTTATTCAGTAGAGAGTGGCAAGTTGCCTACAGAACAGAGATGAGCACAAACAAGTCACAGCACCAACTACATACAGCAACAAAAAACCAATGTTGACTTGTACATAAATTACACAGTAAAATGTAACAAACATAACCAACAGAAAATGAAATATATAAACTAAAGACTGATGATGGAGTTTTTATTCCACAGTTTTATTACATCTTATTTACAAAGCACTAAATACAAAACAAGCAAATGTTGAATTTCAATCATTTCTACTATTTCTGGCTAGATTAAAAGTCAAACCACATCAATGTGCTCATGATACACAATCTTGGGCCTTAAATGGTGTATTCAGTTTTCAAATATAATTTACCATCCCCAAATAATTTTAACAGTACAAATAGTAGTGTTATACCTTTGAAATACATACTGCTTTTTAAATTAAATTTAGAGTTTTAAATCTTCCCAATGTTTCTCTGTGTGTCCTTCAATTTGGTTAGACCTGTGAACCATCAGGGTTATTACCACTGTCAGAGGTAACTCTGCCATAAAACACTCTCTGGACAAAGGAAGAAAAAAGTTACAGTCTATGTTAATTTATTAGAGACCTCCAAATCAAGAGATCTAACTTGATTGTGCTTATTTCTGCATTTCACTGAGATTCAAAGGGACCCACCAAGAGGACTCCAACTCTGTCCTGCTTCCAGCAGGATCTGAGCAAAGCCCCTTGCACCCTTTGCACCCTGCTCCCCAGCCAGTGGTGCATCAACACTCCCAGCAGCTGGGGTGGGCTAGCGTTCCTGGGAAGGCTCCAGCAGCACCCAGGGCTGGGTCCCAGCCAGCCTGCAGCACCCAGCCACTGCCAGGGGGTCACACTGGCACTGGCACAGTTTCCCCATGTTCAGGATGGAACCGAACGGAAAGCAAACACCCCAACCCAAAGCAGCCAGTGAAACTCTGCTAAGCAAGCTGAGCGGAAACCTGTGCAGGACCTATCAATATTTAACCAGTGGCAACTGCCAACTTAACTCTGCCAACTTTCCCTGTGGAATTTCCACTCATGGCTTCTGGAGCAGTTGTACACACACTCAACTCCCTGGAATACTGAAGCTATAGGAAAACTTCCACCTTGCTTTCACAAGAAAACCCATGTATGTTTGTGAGGATTTTACAGAAGAGCCATCACAGATCCTTTGCAGGAGTTACTGTGAGCATGCTTGTTCTCACATCACACTCCTGAACATACATTACCTGTAAGCAGCCAGGTGAATCTGTCCCAGTAGCCAGTTATTGATATTTCCAAAGGAAAACACTCACTGGGCTCTGCTCCCAAAACAGGAACACCAGCAGCAAAGATGCCAATATCCAACTAAAGACACCATTTCTGTGAGGTTCTTACAGTAAGTAGCTACTAATCACTTACAGAACACATATGGTAAGCATTCTTTGCACACACTTTAAAACTATAAGAATGAAAAAACTACCACAAAATTGAGTGTTATTTACTCTCACACTAGTGCTTGAGATCATTCACCTTTTTAAAATGGAAGTTATCTTATAAAAATCACCTATTTGGTTCTTATGATAAAAATGGATTAATGCCCCCAAATCAGACCTTGGTTGTACTTTCTTTCAGATAAAGGCCAGAGTTCAAAATTCTCTGGAATTTTAAGTACAGAATGACTAACACTATTTGTGATGAACAAACACTTGTACAGAAATCTAGTTGTTACTAGAAACAGTTAAAATAGTAAATATTGAAGCTAAATATCAGTTAATACCACTTGTATATCCGTAAGTAAATCATCTCTTTTGGGAACAAATTACTCTTATTACCACACACAGTAAAAGGCAAGAATAAAGCCAACAGACTTGGAAAGGCTTCCATAGAATAATCTCTGGGAATGCCTGCTGGTGAGCACATTTTAGAAATCCATTTCATGCAGGAATTACCAATGGTTTGCATAGAAATAATTGGTAGCAATGTAACACTGAAATGGCAATCTGATACATTCTGGTAACAGCATATAAACCTAGTTCTGGGGTGAGGTGTGGGAGAACGTGACATCCAATAACAGAAGGAACAACCAAGGCTGTGTGTGATATCTTCAGTAACACTCAAGTATTCTTCTAGTCGATGCCTGTGACCAATGAAGGAGACCAATTTGCCCACCTCATTCCCTGCTTACAAAACTCAAACAGCAAAAACCCCAAAGTCACTCTGCCACCAACCCAAACACAGCCACTTTTGGGAAGAGAAAGCGATGCCTTCAGAGGCCTTTTACAGAGCTGCCAGGCAGGAACAAGGCTCAGCGTTTGTGCACCTGGGTCAGTGCAAGGGCTCTCGGGAACAACCCCGAGCACAACAACCCCAACACACATTCCCTGCTCTCACTCCAAAGCTCTGGCATTGCAGCAGTTGCCCTGATCCCTACAGCACCCCCTGTGCAGATGACCCAACAGGATTTTTGTTATTCATCATTAGTTCACACAGGTCAGATAATCTGTTTGCTTTAGACCTGGATACACTGTGGCTGAAAGGGCAGAAGTAGCTCTTCCAGAGCACCTCACTGAGACCACAGCTCAATATACCACCAGGCACAGCATTTCTGTGACAGTCCTCCAACTGGACTGAAAACTACTCCCAGGGAGCCCCAAGGGAACTCCTATGTGTGTTTTTACAGCAGCTGAATCCATCAGAAACACACAAGGAGATCCAGCAGGACACGGGGCTCAGCAGCCACGGGACAGAGCAGAGGACTTGGGGTGGAGGTTGGGGAACCTGGGTACCTTCAGTCATCTCCTGATTGCCAACAAAAATGTTAAAACACCAATTGGCCCCTACCTTCAGACTGGTGTTATTTAACAAACACCTGAGCAAAGTGTCTAGGGAAGCCCCCTGTGTCCAGCACCAAGCTCCAAACTGCTGGAATTTCACAAACCAACCCCAAAGCTTAGGGGCAGGCAACCACTGCAGGCATACCTGATATAAACAATGGCACACACTGCGCAGCTGGGGTGGGAACTCCGAGGAGGAATTAATGATTGCCTGAAAAAACTTGTCTGTCATTTGCAAGAGACTCCTCTGGTTCTCTTCAAGGCTTTCTGTAGGCTCCAGCCTGAAACAGACCCACACATGTATGACCAGCAAACAAACACGACACAAGCTGCACTTACATCCTTGGTAAGAACCTCATTTCCTCTTTTTCTTATGGAAATACTTGTGATCTTTGACACAAAAGTTGCCATCACCATTTTAAACCACATAAGGTACAAATGAAAGGTCATGTAAAACTCAGTAATGAACAGACAGCTGTAGGTGGGATTCTCTCAGACCATTTCATACAAACACATGCATACACAATTCTAACTGGCAATTGCATTATCAGTTCATGATGGTTTATGTGAAAGGAATTTTTGAGGTAGACACAGATAGTCAATGTTTAAAGTATTAATTAGAAGGTCTATCTTTGGATAAACTACTTAAGAGATGAATACTTAAAATTTTTTTAAAAGTTAAAAATAATTTAAAGCAACAGAGCAAGAGGGCTGCAGAGACAATGTGTCTGGAAAAGTGAGATGTACAACAGTATGAAAGCATGAGAAAAATATCTTCAACAATGAAAAAGGAATCCTATTACATACAATGAGTGGGAATCATGTTTACAGATAAATACATGTGCTGCTCGCTCTGAATCTCAAACCTTGTTGGATCCACCTCAAAGCTGACGTGCTGCCACTCAGGGGATGTGATCACAGTCCGCAGCAAAGGTTCCAAAAGCTTCTGCAAATATGTAGCACCATAGACCTGTGTGCCAGGGAAACAAGGACAGAGGCCAGATTGACACAGCAGTGCTGCAAAGTTTTAGAAGCTCTCAACAGCCTGGAAACACTTGATCTGTTTTGGAATAAGCCAAATTCCTGTAAAACTTGGGTTTGCATATTAAAGTCTCTCCTCTGGAACACATCCAAGATCAATTTCTACAGGTATTTTAATTAATTTATGATTAGAGAAAAATAAAAACTCTGCTAACCAGCAGACTTTCTTTCTTAGAGCACTGACTCCACGCTTCACCTCTGTTTGTACACAACTTTTAAAACTGAAATGGGAACACAAACAAGAGCTCAGAATTTACCAGGAACAGTCTTCCAGCTGGCACTGGCCCAAAATCACTCATATAAATGAACTAGTCAGAAAGGCAAAAGTTTAGTGCCAGGGGGATACCGAATTTTTAAGTGTCTGAGTATAAATTTTCTACAAGATTAAGTTCATGAAATGTTAAAAATCAAAAAGAAAACTCCCTAAACTTAACAGATGTGAGAGCTGAGACTAACTCAAACTGAGACCCAAAGGCAACTCTGTAGAGATTTTATCTAATCCCATTACTCAAGCGCTTAAACCCACAGGCTGGTGGCTTTGTAATTTCATATTACTAAACTCTTCCTGCCTGAAGAGATCTGTAGCAGAATAAAAAAAAAAAAAGAAAAAAAAAGCTGTTTCCTCGGAAGAGTGTCTGCATGGAGTCTGCCAACTCGACCTCCTTTGAGAACATATTCCAGAGGAGCTGGTAGAGGAGGTGTCGGGAATCAAAGAGTGTGACCAGGACACGAGCCAGCTCATCCTTAAAGGCAGGAGGCAGTGTTAATCTGACTGCAGGGAGCCAAAGCAAGTATGAAACCCTGTACTCTGACAAAACCAGCAAGCAGTTTGCAACAAAGCTTTATGTCTGCTATGGGCTCTGGCAGGTAAATATCAAATTACACAAACACAATCTCTCTGCAAACGCTTCCTGTGCTACTGCTTGTCTGAAGATCTGCCTCAGGATATCCAGTCTTACAAATTCAGAATGGTTACCCAGACAGACAAGCAGTTCCTCTGCTTTATAACAAAGCCCAACTCATCTTGCTAAAATCTAGGAAAGCAAATACAATTCTGTGTGTCTGCATCACAGCACACACCACTTGTAATAAATAACCGGCCCAGGTGCATTTATTATAATAACTGTAAATAAAACTGCTCCTAGACATTAACTAAAATGCAGTTTTATCATCAAGATCTGAACTGAGATTAGCACATTTTTTAAGAACATACTAAGAGAGGCTAGCTATTGTCAGTAGTAGCTCTATTCTCTCTGTCCCAGACTATTGTTGCACTTTTTATTTCAAGTCTTATTATTTTAATAAAATGTAGGAAAAAAAATGAATCAACTTACCCACTGAGAGCAAGGCACCACATTGGCTAAAGCCATAGCAATAGGAAGCTCCCCCTGATCACCCATCATTGTAACCAACTCCACCAATCTCTCAAACCGATCTGCTAGCACTGTTTCTGCCAAGGTATCAAACTCTGTCCCCTGCTGCAGGATTTTGGTGAGGACTTCCATAAACGTGGCTCTAGTCTGGAGGTCTTTGTGATAGCCCAAGCCTGGTGGAGAGAAGGCAGCAGTACTAAGGAGGATGTGGGCACACGGGGCGGCGGCGGGGCCGCGTGTGGGGCGTTACCTATGGAGTGCATGAGGCCGCTGTCCACGTTGGCGTTGAGCAGGTTGGACATGGCCAGCACAGTGCAGTGGCGCAGCGATGCCAGCCTGCGCGACATCCCACGCTTGCGCCCGCCTGCCGCCGCCCCGTCCTCCTCCGCCTCGCTGCAGTCATTCAGCAGGTTCATGAACAGCGTGAAGTACCTGGGGACAGTGCCTCATGGTCACATGTGCCCTGCCACGGCCACCAAGGCACAACAACCCCCCAAAACCTCACCCACGGCACAACAAACCTCCCCAAACCTCGCCCACGGCACAACAAACCTCCCCAAACCTCACCCATGGCACAACAAACCTCCCCAAACCTCACCCACGGCACAACAAACCTCCCCAGACCTCACCCACGGCCACCAAGGCACAACAAACCTCCCCAAAACCTCACCACTGGAGCTAATACACAATGAACAACCACCTAAACCTCACCCACAGCAGCAACCACACAACAACCCCCCCAAACCAAGGAGCACCCTCACAGCACAGCCCAAATCTTAACTGTGCTCCAACAACCTCCCTTTGTCCCAAACCTGGCACGCCCATTCTCCCCAGCACTGGTGTGCCTCTATCAACAGATGTCTTCAGAGTTTAAATTTGGTGGATAAAAATAAATAAATAAAATACACTAACAAATAGAGTTAATCCCTACCATGACTGAAACACACATCTGCATTAAGCAGAAACAAAGCTAAATTTTCTAATTATTTTCTAAATGAAAATGTTTCCATAAACATACAAGGCAGAGATTTTGAAATGGGCCATAGAACAGGTAATTCCTGTCAGGATAATAAAATTATTTCTGCTGGAAGAGAGCACAGTTTACAATAAAGGTCATGCAGGGCTTCTGTTTAGAGTGATTGTATAAACAAAGAGCTAAAAGTCACTATTTACTTGAGAAATAGTTGAGATTTTGCTTCCATCAACTCAACACCATCTCCTTCTTCAGGCTGGAGTGGAAGCCCAGCAAGAAGAGAGACCACTGCTTCCATACTCGCCTGGTCCAAATCTCTGAAAAATAAAATTTAACAAATAAAATATAAGCCACTTTTGCTTATAGCTCTACCTGCAGATGAAAAAACAACATTTTTAAGAATAAAATGGTATTCCACTAAAGTTCTGTCCATCATGGAAATAGTTTTTATATTTTGTGGTACAGGTTCTAAATTAGAGAAAATATTAAAAGGAGCAAAGTCATTTAAGACTAAACATTAAAGACAATTCTGCAGTTGCTCACCAAAGCTTCAGTTTCAATTTTTGTCTTTTCCTTACCATTATTATTGTTACAGCAAGCCCAACATGCTAGCTCACCCATGGCTATCAAATGCCACCTGGAATGCTGTTATAAGTGAAGAGTGCCCCTTACCTTGTCAAGCATTTCACATCCTCGTCTGTTGCTTGGTTTGATGTTCCCATTACCCAGTCTGTCAAATATTCCACCATTTTGTTCCTGTTGCACATAAATAGATTGTTTTAGCTTTGTTGGGGTTTTTTACCTGTCTGTATCACACATTAAATTGTTACGTGTGTTCAGTATCACCACAAAGTAGGTAATATTTAAATGCAGTACCAGGCTCATAATTATTCTGAAGACACAAGGGAACTATCCCTGTACCAGGAATACTGGTGTGACAGGGGTTTAGTTTATTTTTTAACCACATAACCAAAGAAAACCTGCCTACAGTACTCTATGAGTGAAGTAATGCCATCCTTACCTAAATTTCATTTCTTGACAAAATGAAAGGTCATCTCTCCTTTCCATCATTACTTCTACTAACTGGCAGAGCTTTGTTTTTATTTGAATGGCATGTACCAGATTTCCAAGCACACGCACATACCTGAAGAAAAAAAGCAAAAAGATTAATTAAATACTTCATGCTACTTCACTTCCTCCCCCCAGGAAATTCATCAGAAGCAAATTTCTTCTGGCCAAACAAATTTTCTGTCAGTGTAAAACTGAACAGAAATCTACCCTTCAGCTGGTTTTTAACCACTAACATCAGCGTAAAGAAAAGTAACCAGGAATGCCTATGGAATAGGGCCAAGCTATGGAATGGTCAGTTCTTTAAAAAACAAAGGTCATTCTTCAGCAATGCACTTCATGCTACACAACTTACACAATTACTGAAGTCAGAACCATAAGGAGGATCAGAAAATCAGCTGCTGCTTCTCCGTGGACAAAACCAGAAAAGATATGAACTAGAAGGCTCCAACTCACTTCTTAAACATGCCTGTGTATGCCTGTGAAGGTCAAGAGGGCTCCTTACCTAACCAGATTCAGCATCATTGTCTCAATGCTTGCTTGTCCGAGGTGTTCTGAGCTCCCTTCTGTGTGATTGTCAAGCAAATTCTTCATTATAGCAATGGTTTGCTCTACAAATTGTGTGTTGGTGTCAGTTAACAACACCTACAGGATGAAACACAGATTCTGATTAATTTTTTACACATAAAACCAAAGAAAGGGTATTTCCCAAATATACTGCAACATTTCAAAAATCTCATGGACAACCATTTTTCTAGTTGCCACCACACCAATAAAATTCCAATACATGTCAAGATTCAGTATGTGAACCCTGCCAGCCATAAGGATCCAACATAGAATCTCACAGATTCTGCACTCAAGAGTTCACTATTCAAGAATGTTAAATGCAGCCTGGAATCACAACACAATAACCATTAACACATGCTGGGATGATCACTCTGCTCACAGGGGGTGTGCACAGAACACAAACAAGCATCCATTTCAGTCACATGGGGGAAAGACAGGACCGACACAACTGTGAATCACCATTTTACCTGTCCTTGAGAATCAAAGAACTTGCTGATGGTATTCTTCAGCTTGTTGAAGAGCATTGGATAAAGCGCTGGACTGAGCTCCAGCCCCACCAGGTCTTTGATGTTGGTCCGTATCTGCAGCCCCACCTTCTCGTGGTTGCAGACCATCAGTGTGAGCAGGCGGTCGATGAATTTGCTGACCGGGGTCTCCACGCTGCCCTCGGTGGAGACCATGGAGATCATGGAGCCCTTGCGCTCATTGAGGGGGCCCATGGGGGGGCTGTAGGTGGCCAGCCCCGCGCTGCTGCGGTGCTGCAGGCACACCCCGCCCAGGGCACACAGGAACCCAGTCATGTTGATCCACTCCTGCAGCGACTCTGTGTCTGACAGGTCGATGGAGCCGCCGCCGCTGACGTGCGACATCCGCCGCTTCACGATCGTCTTGTGCAGGCTCTCAGCCACCTGGGAAGCAAGGGTCATTTGCCACATTAAAACTCAAGCTCCTTAAAATAAATAACCCTAAAGACTTATTTTGAGTTTTGAAATGTTGAACCAATGGAAAAATTCATAGTCACCTGCCCATCTTCCATTTTGGTCTTTGGATAGTTAAGGATTAGTTTTGTAGCTTGTTCCCATTTTGCATGCGTATCCTCCCAGGCCTGAAAGAAGATATATCAAGATTTAACTTCAAATCTACTTGTAGCAAGTACAAGTGTTTGCTTTTTTAATATGAACACAGAGCACATGAAGTGAGAAGTTAGTTCACCTCTGTGTTGCCTGCAGTGGGGTGCTCAATGCGCCTCAATAACGCCATTACTCTCTTCTGAAGAGCTGCTCTCCCTGCAAAGGGCACAGAACATTGAACTAAGTTTTTCAAAACCCATCTACATCAACTCTATGATCTTTGAAAGTAAATATTGCATTAAGAGGAATATATTGCATTTGAAGTCTTTAGAAAGGTAGCTTCTTGTTACATGATTTTAAAATCCTCCTGAGCTGTCACCCAGATTCCTTTCGCTTTCTAGCAGTTCTAATAATTAAGACATTCCAGGAAAAGCCAGAGCAGCATGAAATCAAGAACCTCAACCTGTTTAAAGAACTCAAACACAAGTAACAGTCTTCTGACCAGGTACAAAGTTACTTTAACTGCCTCATGACTCTTACCTGTTGACATCATGTTGCTCACAGATGCAAACTCCATGAAAGTGTTGTAGTTTGGCAAAAAATTATGCACTGAGACCTCATCTACTCCACATCTGATGTCGGCCTCCTCACAGAGGTGACGGAAGCAGGACATGGCCACCAGGACTGCCTCAATATCTGGGCTCCACAGGAACATGTATAAGGCCACTTCCAGCTTGGTCTGGGCTTGGCGGCAGATCGGTGTTCCACTGCAGCCTGCTGCGCTTTCCTGGGAAACATACAATTCCCAGCTGGGGAATATTGCTTGTGGAAATTCAGCCCTGGCCAAACTGTGTTTGAAACTGCTTTTGGTCTAGTAGGAATAAGCCATCCTAGAAAGGATCAGAGCTCTTATATGATGTTGCAATGCTGTTTGCAATCCTAATCAAAAAATATTCACCAACATTTTAACTGAAAAAATGTGACTTTATAAAGTTTGAAACATCATTGTTAACCAGTACATTAAATATATACATTATTTAGGACAAAACTGCCTTTTTCTCCTCAGAAATAATTAATTTTATTTTCTAAAATTACTCTAAAAGTGATTTAATTTCTAATTGCCCACAGGTTTCTTATCAAATGATAAAAGTAACTATCAATATGTATTACTTACTATGGAAGAATTCCCCTTCCCTTTCCTCAGGGTAGCCCCTGGTGCACAGCGTATCATTTCGTCATGGTCAAGAGAAATTTGACTAGTTCCACTTCCAGAGACATCATAAAGGAAGAGGAAATGGCAGGAACTCCTATCAGATTGCTATAAAGAGAGGAGGAAAAGAATGTATTAACTGATACTTTAACAGAGCAAAAGGCACAGATTTGAGGAAGGTAAAAAGCTCTTGGACATTTACGTAGTACTTTTTCCACTGCTGCTCTCAGGGTGTGATCAAGTTCCTTGTGTTAATGGTATCTTAGACTGATACTTCTCCTTAAAAAATACATTATTTGATACTTTAAGACTATCAGAAAGAAGCAAGTCAGAATTCTGGGACTCAGAAGAACAAGAACCTGAGATCCAAAAGGAAATTTACTTTGTCCATGAACATGTGTATTTTACCATTTACTACCTTTCCTTTCTCTCACCTTGGGGACTATTTCCCTGTATTAGGCAAAGAGGCACAAGGCACAGGTTTCTGTGAAACTTTCATTTTCCAGGCAAGTACAGCAAGCTGTGCAGCTAAAGGAAAAAAAATAAAAATACCAAACCTAACTTTGGTTACCAATTCTAACCAAGGTGCCTCACAAAGCAGAAAGGAAATCAGAGAACAGAACATGTAGGAGTAGCTATTAAATCTCTTCCAATCAAAAATAACCTGGTAAATAAAGGAAGTGACACAACAGAGAACAATTCATGTTAATGATCCCAACAGGGATGGTAATGTTCACTTACTTTGTTTTTTAGCAGAAATTTATTCCTACAGATGAGAATCTCTCGCAGCCACTTGAGGATTTCTGTACTGCTGAGCATCTGATGACTCGTAAGCTTCTTGCAGATATAAAAAAGCATTTGTGAGCTGCAGTAAAATGAAATTCAGCATCAGCCTTCTGACGGAGCACCAACACTTGCGAAGGTATCACACTATGTTTCACATAGAAATAGGCACTTAGCATGAACACCCTGTGCAAACACTACCCTGGGCTTCCAGCAGTACAACAGAGAGGTGAGAGTGTGCATGGACAGGCCAAGCTCCCCTTGGACCCTTCCCAGCGCCCACGGCCGGGAGCAGCCAGAGCTCCAGCTCTGCCCGGGACAGACAGCACAGACAGGGCAGCACGAGTTACCTACACTGCTCTGACAACGTGTCAACTCTGCTCTGGAAGGAACACATCTAGGGAATGTTCCTTCTTCATATCCCGTCAGGCCTCACACTCTCTGTTAAAACTGCCAAAGGGTCCAAATTAGTGTCAAGTGTGACGGGTTTTCCCCCCGCCCGAAGAGACCATGAGCTCCCTGTTGTTGCAAAGCTATCCCAAAATACTCACAGCTATTTCAAAAGAGAAGACAAATCAAAACAGCTATTTCTTTCATTTATCTAAGTTTCCTTACGTACCTGATCTCCCAGAATGTTTCTATAGGAGCATCAGGATTCCACAAGTCAATGCTGTCCAACTGGTGCAGAACCAGCAAAGCCTAAAGCCAAAGAGACAGCAAAAGACTTAATGACAGAACTTTACAGAGTACCTGAGCACAGGCAGAGAAACAGGTGCAGTAACATATTCATTACACTGCTTTAAGAACAGCAAAAGATATAAAAAGCATTTTCCATAAAAGAGCAAGAGTGCAATGTCAGTCTGTATCAACAGCATTTCATTTTAGTCTTTACTTCATGCTCATACTGCAGACACAGAGGTTTTCCCTGGTACTTCTGTCCAAAGCCATGCTGCACAGACAGACAGACAGACAAATACTGTTTTGAAGGAGAGGCTGTGGCAGGAACACCAGGCTGTGCCCCTCACCTCCATGGCCTCCTGGGCGATGTCGGGCATGCTGGACTGCGGCACCAGCTGCACCAGCCCCGTGATCAGCTCGGCCGTGCTGCCCTGCGAGTCGGGACCCTGCTTCCTGGGGTTCTGCACAAAAACACACAGCACAGGCTCAGCTGCAAAACCTTCCCCTGCTTGACCACACCACTGACAGCTACTGCAGCATTCCTGCTGCTGAACTAGGGGGATTTTGGGATCTTTCAGAGACTCTGTCATTTTATTTTTAATCCATAACACGCCTTGCATATCATGTCTCTGACAGAACTGGAATATTTTTGTATTAAACCACCACAAACCCGAGAAAATGGAAGATCTAAGACAGTACTCATTGAAATGATGACTAATTTCCAACCCCCTTATTTTAATTTTCTTCTATTCCACTCTCCTTCTCCCACCTTCCCCTTCAGAGCCACTTCAGAGAACTTCAAGCTTTCTCTTGCTGTGTTGCTCTGATTCTGTAAAGTCTCTTACAGTTTCTTTTTCCTTTAAAACCACAGGAGGAACATAACCAGAGGAGAAAATAGGTAGGAAGTGTCCTAGATGGCCAGGTGACCATTAATTTTTATTCATTTAGCAGCTTCAAAATTAAATTCTGACTGAATAGTATGGCAGTAGGATTTACTTACACACAGCAAAAGCTTTGGATCTGCATGGATCAGTTTCACCAAGGACAACAGCAAGAACTTGTAGCTTCTGGTTTCCAAATCAGTAGGTTTTTCTTTAAATTTAAGGCTTGTCATTTTCTCCTTAAATGTAAGGCTCTGATTGAAGGAAAATAAATCACATTCCTTGTCAGGAAGGTAGTCAAACATAACAGTTAAAATTAAACATCTGATGAAATGTATTGCTTTTATCACCTATAATTCAAGAAAAAGTTTAAAAGTATATGAAACTCAAGTATAGTCATATAGCCTTCTAGTTCAAAATCCCCTCTCTCACAGGCAATCACTATTATATCTTTAAAGTTCCCTTAACAATTATTTCAGTAAGCTGCATGTAGACATTATTTTTTTTGCAAAAAAGAAAAACTGTGGCAAAAGAAAAGTAGTAAAAGGACCAAAAAGAATTACTAGGTATTTCTCTGGTCTGAGACAGAAATAAAAATAAACATTTCCAACTCCTTCTGAGTACATGAGAGGGAATTTTTTTCCAAAGGCAAAGTCATGTCTTTATTTTCTGCTACAGCCCTAGGCCAGATGTTTGCATGTTCACCTCAACAATCTCTGGAAAATGAACCTTTCAGATCTAAAAGGCACACAGGGCATCACTTAACTATAAAAATAATCTGCCTCCAGCTGAAACAGCAGTGAACTACTTGTAATTTTGAAAAAAAGGAGAAAGCCTAGGTTGAAATCACCTTCAAGGTAACTGATGAGCTATGACGTTGTATGATTAAATTCCACAAGAAATTAGGTTCTGTGTTATTTCAATAATTAGTTATTGCGCAAATGTAAGGAATAAAACCTACCACATAAAGTATCTGATCAAGAAATTGGTAGCACAGTGGTAGAGGTAGCTAATTCTGTGCTAAGCCTTAGTTGGCTACAGGTCAGGGATTTCTAGGAGAGGCACGTGGCGAAAGGAGATGTATTTCTGTGAATTCATTTAGTGCCTCCACACAATTCAAACTAAAGAGTGTCAGTGAGAAAGCCAGGCCAGGCTCTGTGCAAGGCACCGAGGAACCACCAGTGGCGGGACGCTGACAGACAGCACCGGACAAGGACAGACGTGGAGGAATTCAGCATCAGTGAGCTCAGGCTGGAAATTAGGAACCAGTTCTAAACCAGAGAGGGGACTGGGAAGAGCATCGTGCTGGGCACAGAGCCAGCAGTGCCCTCCTGCAGGAAGGAGCTCCGCTGGTGCTGCGAGCGCTCCCTGTGGCCCCCGGCCCGGGGCTGGCGGGCTCTGCGGGTAACTATGCACAGAAAAGTCAGCACAAGGAAGGGCTTTTCTGCGGTAGTTACGGGTCATACTTACAGCAGCAGAGGCCCAGGGCCATGCAAAGCAGGGGCTGGCGGGCGTCTGACCACGTGGGCGACAGCAGCCAGGCAGAGGGAAAGTGAGAAGCAGAAGACAAAGCACCACCAGTCAGAGCAGGGGTAGTGTCAGGGCAACTATTCTCCAACAGATGAATACACACAGGTGAAAAGCAAGTTAAACATGGAGTAGCTTTCAACCAAAAGCATTGTGCTCATTTGCTCTCCTTTGAGAAGTCCAACAGGAGTATTTTTATGTCTCATTTTAGGCTTTCTAAACCAACCCACCAAGACCACTTGTCACAGCAGAAGTCCTCAAGGAATGCTCAGAGGAGAATGTAGCAACACAGCTGTATGTGAACTTACTGGAAGAATTTGGATGAACTACAAATCTGAACTTACTCAAAACTTTCTCCAAGACAGCCAAGAATATTGACTTGATTTTGTAATGGTGGAAAAATCTTTTACTTTGTTGCTGTCACCAAGAAAAAACAGCCAATTTGCTCAACATAAAACAAGACAAATGAACATGCCAATCATGGTAAAAGTATCACAGTTTTCAGTGACACATACAGAATGCTTTGGTTTTTCACATTAAGCAAGGATGGACATGTTATCCAGCTATTCACAGAGCCAGAAAGCTTAAAATGGACAGTTAGCCACAGAGGACAGTTACAGGACAAATAGCTGTGTGTCGCTAGTTTAAAAGCAGCAGGAAAACCGAGAGACATCAAACCAGGAGCAGCCAATCCCCCAGCACCACAGGGCTCCAGAGCACGTGTGGCTCCCTGTCACCACCTTCTTCCCCCCTCCGGTGTCCAGCACAAACGTGATGAAGAGGAGGGCAGGGCTGGGCACAGGGGAAGGCGGGGGGTGCCCCCAGGCTTACCGGGGTCATGCGGATGGCGGGGTGCGCCCCGCAGCCCTGCATGGCGCGGTGCAGGGTGTCGCTGAACATGCTGCGCAGCTCCACGGCGTGGCAGTACACGGCGTCGATCCGCGGCCACCAGTCCAGCGCCGACTGCAAGGCAAGGGCAGCACTGAGCCCGAGCCATGGCTCTGTGGCACTGAGGGTACCCAGCCCTCACTGAGTGCTCTGCACACTCTTACCAGTACTCTGACACTGAGCCACAGCTCTGTGGCAGCGAGGCAGTGTAAGGAAGCCTCACCCCAAGTGCTCTGCACACTGTTACCACTATGCCCATCATCATTCTGCATGCGCATTATCAAACTCGCAACTTTTAAACAGGCTGCAACTGAAGCAATGATTCCAACCCAGCTGCTCACTACATCACTCTGCCTCCTGAGCAGGCACCACCCCTGAGATGTTCCGCACTCACAAGATTTGGTCTGCTATCCAAATGGTATTTACTAAGCAGATATTGATCTGAACAGAAGCCCCAGACACTGGGCTGATGAAATACTGCCAGGACTTACGTTTGTGATGATTCGGTGGAGTGAATTTACCAGCACATAATGAAATGTTGACGGGGAATTCTGTGCCAAGCAGATCTACAATAAAAATACATAAAAGCCACTTAGGAATATCTTTGCCATCTTTCTTATCACCCTGAAAAAAACATTCTGGAGCCTTTTTATTAAATTGACAAAGCTGTCAAATCTGAACAAGAGAAGCCTAATCAGCTGTGAAAAGATTTATCAAAACATGCAGGGATTTATTACTAAGGGATATTTATACAGTTGAACTCATTTATGAGCTTCAAGCTGCTGTTAGCACAGCTTTTATAACTGACAGGTTGTCAATAGTATGTAGAGAATGACTTACCATAAGCAGTGTTCTTACCTTGAAGTGTTGGTTATTGTGAGGATTTATGCGGAAGCAGGAAACCAAGCAGTCAATCATCAGGTCTACATCTGCATTCTGATTGCCTCTTGAAAAAGGTTTGCTTGGGTTAAACAGCAAATTCTATATAATTCAGAAAAATATAAATATATAAATCAGATGCCATGATTATTCTTGGCTACTTTTAATACAAAATTTTCCACTGAAAACCACTGGTATTTAATGAAGAAGAAATTCAAAGTTCACTTCATTATTTCAAATTTCTTCACTGCAATTAGGAAACAAGACATTCTTACCTTAAGATCTACTACCATGGACTGCACTAGCAGGAAAATGACGGAATTATCTTCCCAGTTGATGTATGTAGATGCTTTGCACAGTTTAACACAAGCAATAGCAGCACTTTCAGTCAGCTGCCTGCTCCCACTGTGTCCTGCCAAGGCCTTCCTGAGATTGTCCAGGAACAGCTTCTGCAGAGTTCAAACCAGGGATAGTTATAACCAGACACTGATAGCAAAAACCAACTGGATGCAGCACTCTGGAGAAATCCAGCCATTATTAAAGACATTCCCTTTGACTGACCCGGGCAATCAGAATGGCACAAGAGGTGGTTGCTCACTCTCAGCCCTGGTCCTGCAGCCACATCAAACCCAGCAGGTGCTGCAAATGCTGTAACTGTGGGGCTCACAGCCCCCTGCAAACCCCAGAACCTCAGCACAGCCGTTTGCTGCGCGTGGAGGCAGAGGAAATCACAGCACAGATTCAAATCTCCAAGGAGATGGAAAAGTTCTGAAATAACATTGTTTGGGACATAGTATCTGTGTGAATTAGTGACAGTAAAAGAATGTATGTAAGGTGAGAACTTAAAAAGAGTGCATAAATTTACATATAGAATTGCAATGTCCTCTTTAAGACAGAAAGACAAAATTATACATCCCTGAAATACAGAATCAGCAAAACCAAGCATACTCTAAAACCCAGAGCCAGAATTCAGCTGCTTCTCTTACCTTGTTCATTTTCGTTTCCTCTACCACATCCTTTGCTATATCTTGGATTATCTCTGGACACAGGACCAGGAGGATGATCTGCAGTGGCCACACAGCTGCTTTACGCTTTGTGCTTTCAGCAAAGCCATCCACTAAATCAAACAACTTCTCAGCACAATCTGCATAAAACATAAGCCCAAGTTCAATACCAGTTTTAACTGTGAAGAGGTAAAGAACAGGTCTAAAAGAGCAGAGGGATAGTTCCACCTACACAGAAGGAAAGTTCTGGTTTGCACATTACTGACATGCTACTGGGGATCAAGTGGTCTCAACCCAGTTAAAGACATGGTTTACCTGAAAATATAAATTCGCCTCTCTTTTTCACTAGAGACAAGTAAAGGTGATGTTCTCTAAGTTTTTACCCTGTATCAAGATGAAAAATATATATTTAAAGAGTCTCCATTTTTTGGGGTTTATTTCTTTGTCTTGTGAAGCACAAAATTAGTCTCTTTTAAGAGGGGAGTCAGGAAAGAAAAGAGACAGGAACATACCCTTGCCTGCCCTGACAAAGGCTGACAGAAATTTGTTTATTTGCAGGCTGCACAAGGAGCAAAGAGGGCACAAATATAAGTGAATGCATTTGGGGATGTCTGAGAAACCAACCTTGAACACTGTAATGTGTTATGCCTTACCAGCCATGTCAGTCTGAGGGGTTTGGTACAGCTTGGTGAATTCGTCAGGATAGTTTTCCACCCAGTTCCAAAATGCCTGCAGATAATGGGAAACATCTTTACATTCCAGAGCTTCAACAGTTTTACTGAATTACACATTTAAACAAAGAGAGGATGTATTCTTAATTCTAGTCATTCAAAATTTCTTGCAAAATGTATTTGCATCAAAGGGAGACAGCAATTTCTATTTTATAGTAAATTATTGAATTGCAACTATTCCTAAACTAGAAGAAAGACTGCAAATAAGCAATGAAACAGAAGTATTGAACATTTACCTTCTCAAGACTGTTGATAACAGCTAACTGAGCTACTTTCTTCAGGGCTTTAAACTTGAATACAGTCTCTGAAAAGATAAAACATTTCTGCATTTAGAACATAAACTTGTTCTAAAAACAACACAGGTTATACAAGATACTTGAAGCGCAAAGCAATTTTCAAATCCATGTGTTAATAGTACTTTACTATTTTTAAATACTTCAGTAAATACATGACTGTTTGGAGTAAAACAGAGCAATAAACCCCAGGTATATCAGTTGCACTGTGTCATCTCTGACTAAAGAGATTCAAATAGAAATACTTCACAGCACAGGCTCAGATCATACCTTGTAAGAGTCGCTTGAGTTTTGAACAATCCACACTGATGTACTGTAAAAGTTCAATATCATGAACATCAGCATTATCTTCTGAACAAACAGTCAGTTCCTGCAATCTAAAAAATACACAAAGCAAATAAACTTTTCCATCAGATCCTGTCAGACAGGTATGAACACACCTGTGAGACTATACATTTCAATAGCAGGGGAATGTTCCATCATCTCAGATAAACATTTCCAGATTTAGAAATAAAAGATCTTGCATGATTAAGACTTAATATTACAGTCTTGTGCCATCCTCATACTGAAAATGGAGCTAGCAAACCAGTGATGAGTCTTTACAAGGTGCCAGTACCTTCTGTGGATTGTCTGTGCCCAAGATTTGCCCAAATCCTCCTGTTATCCGCTCTCCTGTCAGTAACCTCATCATCTTTTCAACTAAACATTGAAGTCATGGACTTTTTTCTGACTGACCTTTAGACTACTGCTCCTTCACAGCAGGTCCTGCCTCAGGTAAGATCTCAGAGTACAGCAGTGACTGATAGTACTGGATATCACTGCAATGAGCTACAACTATTCTTGGTCCACATTTCTCTGGCCTGAGCACACAGGATGAAGTTTAATCACACCAGTTTAAACACAATAGCATCTTTTCACTGGTGTCTCAGAGAATTTACCCAGCATCTCCCAGACACCAAGCCACTGATCACTACAGCATCTGTTCCCACAAACTCGGGACTGCCACGGCTCCTTCCGAGGCTACAGATGTGTTTCAGACATGGAATGTGATTTCTAGCACTAGACACAAAAGCAGTTCTTCATGTCTTCAGCGCCAGGGAAACTTAACAGCCCTCACTGGGAATGGGAAGGTCCCCACTGCTGTACTTTTCATGCCAAAAATCCCCCAGCTGCTGTGCAAGGCCCAGAAATATGCCTAAACAGGAAACCCAGGTCAGGGATCAGCAGCGCTGACTGGCAGCAGGCTGACCCCTGTGGAGACCAGCAACAATTGGCCAAACATTCAACTGTTGCTGTACAAGCCATCTGCAAGGGAAAACAGGTTAGGGGACAAGCACTGTGCTCCAGCTCAAAGGGATGCTGGGGGGGCTTTGTAGTAGGGGAACAAACCCTGCTACAGGCATACAAATACACACAGATCCATTGAGTAGACTGAAAGACTCAAAAAATTTCAACTGAAAAATTCTTCCAATAAAAGGAGCAAAAGAAATTGTTTCCATTTCCATAAACAACAAAACACAATCAACCTACAGAGTAAAACCACACCCCCCATGCTAGCTGCCAAGTCTATGTTCTATTAAAGGCTCTGTAACAACTTTGAAAATACCTTAAATTTCAAATTACTAACTAATTTTAGACTGATTTCTAAAACACAAACATTTTCCGAAGAAATATATATGAGGAAAATATAAATCTCTGTTTCAATTAAATTGGCTCACTCACTGCTATCTGACCATGTAAGGCTGCCCAAGCTCCACTTCTAATAAATCAAGAATGATGTCAACTGTAACACTGTGTGACAAGAGCTAAGCTACTTCAAGCACCTTCCAAAAAACATCAAAGTATTTCAGTAATAAAAAGCTTAGCACACAACTCTAGTGGACTGACAAATGCTAAAGCATCAGAAGGATCTGGAGCAGAGCAAAAAGAGCAAAGAATAGAAGGAAATTTTGGGTTTGTCTCCCTTCTTACTTAGAAAAGAAGAAAATCCAGTTATTTTAACAGTAAATGTGCTGTGAAACTCAAGTCAGTCAGAAGACAAATGGGTCTTTTCCAACAACTAACAAACAGCCCAGCTGTTTGTCCCCTTCAGGCATAAGACAGATTTAACATAAAAGCTTCCTAGCAGGAAAACAACCATGGGGCTCCAGCAGAGCTGTGGACAATCACCAGTTTTCATTCTAAATTTGTAAGTAAATAGATACAACCATTAGCTTCAGCATCCTTTTTCATTCCAAGACACCTTGCACCAGCAAGAACTTATTCAACTTTTCCCGCTGCATTATTTTCATTCACTATTTTCACTGGTACTTTTGAAAGCAGATTAAAAAAACAATAAATACAACCAGCAGTAATCCAGGATGGGGTTGAAACAGGTTCATTTCATAACCTGAAGCCCATGTAAAACTGTGAAAGGTTGAGGGCATTCCACTTGAGAACTACCCCGTTAAAGAGCATATAAAGCACTGGCTCCTCTGAGCAGCCAGCAGCTGGCGGCAGCCAGAGAAAGGCTGCAGGCAGCAGCGCAGCGGCTGTCCCTCCCAAGGGCAGCTGCAGTGGTCAGTACCTGGTGGAGATGCGGCTGAAGACAGCGTTGAAGTTGTTGCAGCTGAGCGAGAAGAGCACCCCCGAGGCGCAGCTGCGCAGCTCGGCCGCGTGCTGGTTGCCCTCGCGGTAGGTGTGGATGAAGTGGCAGATCTCGGGCAGCAGCTGCTTCACCAGCATGGTCTCGTCCAGGCGCATGGTGTCCTTCGGTTGCTGCAAACAAACGGTGCTGCCCTAAATCCTGCTCGGAGCCTGCAGCACGTGCCTTGAGCAGGATCCGACCTTCCCCACCGCAGCCAAAGCACCCCACACCCTCGGGGAAACGCTGATGGAGCTCGAGGCTGCTCTGCTGAACGCACCCCACTGCTCTGGAGCATTGGGACAGCGCTGACCACCTTCCACTGAGGGCTGAAGAGGAAAGCCCACCCTCACTTCCCTTTGGGTAGGGGCTTGGTGGCCATATTTTGACAGCAAGTATTTCATATTAAAAAATGAACCAAAAAGAGATGCTTCTCCCTCGTTCTTGCCAGGAATTGCTCTATATGAGTCAAAAATGACTTAATTTCCCTGAGAAAGAAAAATCTGATTTCTGCCAGTTTGCACAGTGTGAGACATAAGGAAACTATTTACAAAAGAATTCAAAGTGAAACTTTGCCCTACTAAGAGCAAGTTTTAACAGTAGGGTCAGCACTAAAGCCTTCTAAAATTCTACCAATGAATTTTCCATAGGGAATTGGGAAGTTTCAGAGACTCCCACTTAGTTGATCTGAGTCCCGTTGCCATGAGAACTTGATGAAACATTGAGCAAGAAATCCATCTGAAGATACCACAGAACACAACACGCTTTGTACAGAGCTTTGGCTCACTCTGATTTAACATATTCTGCCTCAAACTGCTCTCATTTAAGTGACAGAGCAAGAAACATTCAGCACAATTTTAGGCTATTTAAATATGATAATCTATCAGGAAAACCACTGTTTCAAACATTATGCATAGAAGAAGTACTCAAAAAGAAGTAAATTCTGAAGTTAAAATTCTGGGGTTTTGACTCAAAACTTTTTTTGACTCAATGCATCAAAGACAAAAAGTGCCAAAAAGAGGTGTTTTCCTCAGCTGTAAAGCTGGAAATTGAATACAAAAACTAAAAATAAAATCCCGTTCTTGTTAGAAGAATGAACCGCTGCAAATCTGTCTCTCAGTGAAGTCTGGCTTTGCAATTCCAGCTCAGCACAGTAAGTTGTACAAGCAGCACCACTCTCCTCCCAGAGGAACCAGCAAACTGCCTCGCAGCATCTCTGACTGGAAACCTCAGGCCCGGGCTCCCAGTGGAGATTTGGACATGGTTAACTAATGTAATCTAGGAAACACCTGCAGAAATCATCTCTAGAGCAGCAAAGTTTCTGCTGTATATAAAAGCACATGGAAAATTACTTCAACAAATGAAAGTTTTAAGACATTTAGAGAAAACTCAGCACTGTATGCAGAGAACTAAGTAGCACAAAATGAAAAATTTGTACCGAATATTCTGCTACTCTTAACATGAAAAAAGATCATTCATTTTAGGCAATAAAAAGCACCCTCCAAATCGTTAATGCCTCAATTACATCAACTACTTGCATTTAAAGGAAGTTTTAGTATTTTTTAAATGGCATTAATCCTACTTAGCTCTAAATCTGATGAGTTTTCAGTACCAGTAACAACAGGTATACAAGCATTTGACCTGTATTCTCCAACCCATTGGATTCCAAGTTAGAATTACTTATGCAAGCCTACTCACCCCTGCCAGACATTTTTCCAGTGTATCCAAGATAATCAGCTGAGATAGATATAAATTCTTTTCAGCAGTTTCTCCAAATATTCTCTAGAAGTAGAAAGGATATGGATTCATCTGAGACACAGATATTTGACTTGTAATGTGAAGAGAAGCAGCTAAGTGGCCCAGTAAATTATGGCTCCATCACTGCTCTGGTTTGAGTTTAGACATAAAGCCAGTGAAAATCAGATTAAATTAGGAATTAAAACCTTATCACTAAAGAAGTATCTGTCCAGTCTGCAATGCCAAATGCAATAAGGAACAAACAGCACCTGCAAAGCAAGACTGGAGGTGCTTGCAGCCCCTCACCTCCATCAGGCCCACCAGCTGCTGAGAAACGCGGGTTCCACCTTTCAGAACCTATTTTGGTATCAATTGCTGCTGACTCTTTTCCAGTCTTGTACAGGATGCCCCACTGTGGGCACAGGCGGAAGGCAGGATTCCCTCAGGAGCTTCAGCCAGCACCCATCCTGGGCCAACAACAGCCACTGGCTACAGCAGAATTAACACAGCAAAACAGAGCAGGAAAGGCTCAGCCAAAACCCCACTGGTACAACTGCCCACAGACAGAGTGCTGGCAGAGTCACCCAGAGAGGTTTACCTGGCCCCAGGGCAGGGCTGGCTCACCTGAGCCCAGGTTTCAGCTGAGACTTTCTGAAGCCAGTTATGACTGTCTCTGGGACGGGTTCAGCCACAGAAACCCTTCCCAATTATTGCTGATTCCCACAGGAGCTCAGCCTGTCACATGTGACAAACACAGACTTGCTCCTCAGAGCAAATGCTGACTTTTTAACTGACGCTTTTCCTAGGTCTTTCCTCTCAAAATCCAAGTCTCACACTCAGGAACTTCTTTTAACTGTACAGTTTTCTCATTTATCAGCCAATCATCTTGCACATAAACATGTTCCCTCATGCCTGTAGAGTTTAATTAAAATAAATTCTCTCTCCAAAGGGATTACAGGTAGCTTTAAGCAGCCTAAAATCCCTAGCAGCAGGGCAACCCATTTTCTCATTTTATCAGTTCTCTGCAGTTCCAGCAGATCCACATCCCTGTAAAACTGACAGCCAAGGGCTCACTCCAAAGAATGTCTAAAAGCATAAAAAAAGTACTGCCAGAGCCTGGCCAGTTCTGTTACCTGTTTGGGGAGATTCCAAATGATCCCAAATTACATGGATTCAAAAATCAACAAACTAAACTTTTCTCATGACAAAGGTTCTGACTGAAACTCATCTGGTTGTTAAAAAATACACCTATTTTATATACACAGACACACAGTAAAACAGCCAGGCAAGCCCAAGTTTTAAATCCTTTCCCTGCCCCAAAATCCCAATGCCTTTCTGTGGAGCATGGCTCTGATGGATGCTGCTGGTGAACTTCAGAACAGAAAACAAGTAAGTGTAAAAGGCAAGCAACAATTTGAGTAAATTTCAAGTAATTCTCTTCAGATTGTGTAATACAAAAAAATAACAACTATTTGAAAAAATCACCAAACAATGTAAAATTAGAAAACTTACCATGTTATTAACATTTTTTAAGATATTGGTGAGACCACTGATGACCAGGGAAAACTTGTACTTGGAAATGTTGATGAGACATTCCTTGTTGTGCTCTGTGCTGACTTTGGTGTGGGTATTCTGCTGGCAAGCCTTTATTGGAAGCTACAAGAGAGAACTGTTATAAGCTTTTTCACATTGAAATTTACAGCTTTAAAGATGGGTTAAAAACTTGTGACACACCAGAAACCACCCTGAAAAACATTCTTCATGAGAGCACAGTGAACACCTTATTTCATCTTCTCTACATTCATTGTCCCATTAGTTATCTATTAGTTATTATTAGTTATCTATAAAACAAAGTTCACCTCCTTCTTCTTCTGAACTGAAACTAAACCTCTATTTTGTGATAAATTTTCTAAAACCTGAATGTCAAAGCAACCAAAAGGAGCAGAAAAATGTAAGACAAAATTCTAAGAAAAGATACTTTATTTTAAAAACAGGCTTATTAAAGGCCAAAAATCTTTTGAGGCTAATACCTGCAAGAAAAAAAAATGCATCCTGGGACCTGAGAGGAGGAAAACCCCAGTAGCTCCCAGAGCAGGTGAGCTGGAAGGAAGCAGCTGTTCCAGGTGTGTCTCCTGTTCTGTCACAGGACAGGCCTGGCCAAGGAGGAACCAGCCTCGCCCTGCAGGCTGGTTTTGTTCTGCTCAGCCCAGGGATGTGGATATCTCTGGGGTCTCCCCACAAACACCCCCAGTCATGAATCTCAGCCTCAAACACACTTGGAGCACCTGTGAGCCCCACGTTACCTGTCCCTGCCCAGCATCCAGTGGTAACAACTAGACCTGAAACCCATCTTTCCCCAGAAAGAGGAGATTCAGAGCGACTGCACAGCCCTGAGATGTTCCTGCTGCTGGGTGAACACTGGGCTCTTTGTTTCCTTCTGTACCCAAATTCTTCAGGGGTCACAAACGAGTCACTTCCCAGTCACACACCAACTCCCCCTGCCCCTCTGAGCCATCACTTCTGGGATGCCACTCTTCAGAAACAATCATTTTACTCAGAATTTATATTTTTTAAAAGCAAACAAATACAGGAACATTTATGCCATTTCTATTTAGCAACAGCTCAATGGAAATGCCATGGTGTCATATTTGTGCATTAGAAAAGATTATCAGAGAGAGAGAATTTAAGAGAGGGTAAAAGAAGGATTCCAAGGAATTACAATCAGCTTTACAGCTGCAAAGTACCTTAGGAGGCACCTCCCAGGCTGGGGGCTCTGGAAGGGCACCATCCCCACTGCTCCCCTGCAGCACCTGACACCACTGTCCTCTGGGAAAGTATGCCCAGATTTAAAACACAAGATGAATGGTATTGAAGAACTCCAACTTGGAGCACTTTTGTCCAACAATTCTGAATGCAGTGTGCCTGACCCAGCCTAACCCTGTGAAGGAGAAGGCCACTGACACTGTCCTGTTCTGACACCATGGGGTGACTCCCCCTCTGTATAAGCTGAGCTTTGTTGTGGGTTTGAGCTCAATTCCTTTGGTACCATGGACTAGGATCCCTATGGACATTGGCTGGGTCTCTCCTAAGAGAATGGCTGACTCTTAATGAAGAAAAGATGGTCCTGGCACTCCAGATCAGACCAAAGAGCCTGGAGCAGCAGCAGGTCCCTGCAGAGCACTGGCCCCGGAACACCGAGCACTGCTCCCAGGGATGGCCCTCCAGGACAAGGGCTGGGATGTGCCTGCAAAGACAGCCACAGCAACAGCTCCCATGGGGCAATCCAGGTCATTTCCACTCCAATTTGTGATTCCCTGGCAGTTTACAACAGCGTGAGGCGCTCCAATGTGCTCGTTTTACCCCTGGAAAAGCAGAATAAACAGCATTTATGACTCAAGCTTTGTTTTCACTGTCAGATGTTATTTTTACAATACATTTTTGAAAGTCATTGGTGGATGATAGATACATTTCATTTAAAATTTCACTATTGCTAGTACTTTCATTTGAATTTTCAAGTCTCTGTGCTGACAGCAGCAGCAAAGCTTGATACCACTGAGTGCTAAAACATTTGAGGAGAGCCTCTCAAAGAAACTGTGTCATAGATCTAGTTCTGTGTGCTCCCATGCCAGAGAAACATCACATTACACACTTCTGGAGCTTCCTGCCACAACAGCCACTACAACAAGGTCACCTAGAAGTAAAATTGCTTTTTATACTATCATTTAAAATAAGAAACTATAAAAAAAGGAAATATTAGCACTATTATTTTGGGATTTTTTATTTCTCAGCTCTTTTCTTTGTGCACTCTGACATGCCGGAACATTTTATTTCCCCTCACAGAATGCAGTGCCAGTGCTGAGTGACTAAAGAGAATCTACTTTACTTCTCTACAAATATCCATTAACCTAAACATCGGGGGCGGGGGGAGGGGGGGGAAGAGTTGAAATTTTACTTTCATTGACTTTGATTTTATTTTAGAAAGAAGAAATACTGACAAATGGTTTCCTGTAGAGCTATTTGAATTAGAAACCAGAATTAGAGCACAAAGCTCAAATATAATTGGGGCTTCACACTCCGAACACATGCCCTGCTCTGAGCTCAGCCCAGAGCAGCAAACGGTCTGGGACGGTCACTGCCCCAGCTCAGCTCCTGTCTCCACTGAACAGAGGCAGCTGGTGAGGCTGGAGCTGCACTGAACACATACAGCCTACAGCCAGGTGGGCTCCTCACATCCTCCCTGATGCAGCTTGAGGGCTCCTTCAGGGGCCAAACGGCCACACAGGACAGGGAACAACGGTGTTTGGGTCTAAACTTTGCCTTATTTACACATGCAGTGTACAAAGACAAAACAGGTAGATGAAATCTGTAACCTTTACAGCTACCCAACTGCTAATCTTTGAGATGGAGAAAGAAAAAATATATTTACTGTGTTTGGGTTTTTTTTTTACTTTTTTTTTACTTTTATCCAAAAATGTTCAGAAACATTTAAGGAATCCTGTCTTGGTCATAGATACTAATCCTTTAGAAAAATAGGTATTTTCCATGCCTGCAAAGTGATTAGCTCCAGTTTCAGGTATTTTCTAGTCTGATGCAAGACAGTCCAATCTTTTGCTAAATGAACATGGACATTGGTTTGGAACTACTACACTGACAGTGTCTGTAAAAGTTGTGCGCTCAGGCTGTTGGGAAAAGCTATACCTGAGCCATGAATTTTGCTTTATCATTTGTAATTAATAAGCATGAAGTTAAATCATCCCCATTTAGTCTGTACTTAATAGTCTGGAGAAACACACAACATCTAGGAAAAAATCCTTAGTGCTGTCCTTACAGCCCCAAAATCTACCTCAGTTCATCCTTCCAAACAATTTCTTGGAATTTTTCAGCAGACCATAAGACACACACGTTCTGGTGACAGAAAATCTACACAATCCCCCACCTCAGCATCAGCACTGTCAGAACCAGACACAAATCCCTCAAAATCAACAGGCACCTTCCTGCCCTCTATGAACACACACCTGCTAAAGAGGCACTAGCCCGGAAAAGAACCTCACAGCTCAGCCTTCCCAAGAACACGCAACTTCCAAAAGTTTTTCTACAGGTTGCTCTAAAAATAAAGCATTGTCACAAGGTGAACTGGAAGTCGATGCTGTGACCAATTGTGTGTTTACCCATCCCGCCAACACAAACCGTGTTAGGTGAGGAAGGGCCATGGACCACCTGGACACATTCAGCAGCTCCTCACTGCAGCCAGGGAACACGTGTGGCACTGGGCATTTCCTCTCCTGTCCCTGGGCTCCAGCCCTGTGCAGAGTAGCAGCCCAGCTGCAAACCCACCACACACACTCTGAGAGCCATCACGTCAAAGGCCCGGCAGGTTCTGCCCCGGGGAAGAGGAAGCGGCACACCTTGTGCTGCAGGGCAGGCCTCCAGCCTGCCTCAGCCCCCAGCTCCTGCGGGTATCTGTCCCACACACAGCAGCTGTGGACAGAGCTCCTGCCCAGCCCAACCTCACCTCCCAGCACAGTGACATCCCCGTGGGGCACAGCCACATCACAGGGGGCACAGGAAACACCTCACCATACATCCCATTACTACCAGTGATTTCCTATCGAGCCACGAGGAAAGCCAGAGCTGGTACCTGCAACCACTGCATGTGCAGGTCTCTGATTCTGCAGAGACCTCAAACACTGGAGAAAAATCAACAGGAGGGAGCACTTATTTTAATTTAATACCTTTTAATTAAAGGGAGAATGGAACATTATTATTGACTTACAGTTTTTATACACTTTCTTAACTGAGAGTCATCACACCTCATGAACTGCAAATGGGAAGCCTAAACCAAAATCCACATAACAAAAGTCTTCTTTCTCCAAAGTTTATCAGAATCGCAGAACCACAGGAACATTAATGTTGAGAGAGACCTCTGAGATCATTGAGTCCAACCTGTGACTGACTCCCACCTTGTCACCAGCACAGAGCACCGAGTGCTACATCCAGTCATTCCCTGAACACTTCCAGGGATGGCCACTCCACCACAATAACTTACATGGCATCAAGTTTATAAAGGACTAATACTTGTTGTTAAATCTGATTGGTTTGAACCAATCTCAATGTAAATGGTTTGGGCAGACTCCTCCAACTATGTTCACAACTATCCCAGTGCTGCACCAGCCTTCCCATGATTTCACATCATAACACACTTAAAGCACTATGAAAACACAACATGAAAACTGGAAGTGAATATTTCCATAGGAAAACCAGAGAGAATTTTCTTTTCCAAAGCTCTGACTATGTCTGAAATCACAGGGAATTCCACAGATTTCCAGGCTCTGTGGCTAAATTCCAGGCTACTGCAGTCTAATTTTGTTCTGCTCACCCCAAGTTTTGAAAAATACAGTAACCAGTACTATGTGCAGGCTCTGCTGAGAGCTCTCCCCATGCTCTCTGTCAGTGTGGTCTGGTCTCACAGGTCCCAACAGCAGCTTCTTCTGCAGCAGCTGAAGCCTGGGGGCAGCCCCAGGCCAGTCCTGCAGCAGGTGAGGGCTCACTGGAGCACAGGGCAGGACTGGCGGGAGCTCCAGGGATTTATTCCGTGAGCCAGGCACTGGTTAATTCACAAAACTCTGCTTGCCAGTCACTCCAGGCCCACAGAATTGTACACACAAAAGCAGATTTTGGTTAAAGCAGCATTTATAACAATAAACAAGAGCAGACCAGAGCAGACTGGTTTGCCCTGATTTCGCTTGTTTTCAATACCAATTAGCATCCTCTCAGCTCACTGTTTCATCTTCCCTAAAATGAATTCAAGCACTCAGCAAATGAATGAAAAGCCTGCCTACATCTGTAAATTTGGAGGAAAGATGGTTACACTTTCCCTCTTTGCAAAGGAAGGAAGAAATCCTGGAAAAGTTTGTCTTCCCCTGTGCAAAAAAAACAAAACACAATGGTCCTGAGCTGCCCTTCTCCCCCTCCTCTCTCAAACACAGTCTGACATGCCAAGCAGTGGCTCCTGGTGCTGAAGCCAGAGGTCCTGCATTCAGGCAGACACAGGATGCAAACCCTCACAGCTGCATGAACACCACTGAAATAATGTGCATATATTCAGTATACTTTGATAAGACACCACGACCGTGACTGACAGTGATGTACTTGATGCATGTTATCACTGTAACTCCATTATTTCAGCATCTCAAGAATCAGAACAGCTTCCTTCCTATCCAGAGAGGACTCCTCCTCTACACCCATCCATAATCATGCCATAGAAAGTATAGAAAAATAATTTTATTCTAAGAAGTTTGTAACTCCTAACAGATGCCGGCAAGCCAAATTCCACAATATGCACAACAAAGAAGAGGAGAAAGCCCAGGACCTTGTAACACCAGCATATCAAGAAATATTTTCTTGCATTATTGGGAGCATAATCAATCCTATGTTTGCTGAGTGTATGGAAAAAATGATCTATGACTCAAGATAAGGGGGATAATAAGGTAACTATGCAAATACGTCTATTATGTATTGCAAAAATCTGCCTCATTATAATGTCAAAAGACAAAGTTTGATATTTTCCTCTTCAAAACAAACTTCATATGAATGTAAAAAGAAACAGCTTGTTCTTCTTGTGCCAGGCCACATCTTTCAGCAGGGTGCTGAAGCACTGAGGGACAGATGCAGCACAGGAACAAGGCTTAGTCTGGAGAAACAGCTCCACGTTTTTGATGGATTTACACCAAGCAGGGTCTTAGAGCTGGGCCTCCTGTGACACAAAGGCTGTACTTACAGTGTGGCAAAATGAGACAAACACAGGAACTGATCACTGAGCCTCAAGAGAGCTACCCCACGTCAGGAAAGCACCTCAGGAGTAGGGATGGAGTGTAAACACTGAGCTTACCCACGCTGAGAGTCACCCACCTAATCCCAGTAAGCAGGTCCTGCTGCTGGATCAGAGAAATATAAAGTCTAAGGCAAACAAATCCCTCTTCCTTCCATTCAGAAAATCCTTCTCCAAACTACTAGCGCAGACTTTTGCAAGGAGATGTAAATATCCATCACTGCAATAGAAACCAATGGCTGGAAGCCTCTCCTCACGCCTCAGAGCAGCGCTGGCAGGGCTGGGGCTGGGACCGCACACCGACATCGCCCTTGCACCTGGGGGCACGGGCAGCACCGCCGCTGCAGCGCCTCCAGCCCTCCTCAACCTCCTTCTCGAGGCTCTCCCTGCCTTCTAGAGAACCAGATGATGTAAAGCAAGAACGTGAATTTCACAGGAATGTCTACGGGAAGCAGGGGCACCTCGGCAGAGAGGGGGAGCAGCAGCGAGGGGCAGCCAGGCCGCTCCTCACCGCCGCTGCCGGCACAAGGCCGGCTACGCCGCACCTGGGGCCGCGGGCCC